TCCCCCTAACCCTCACCCCCACCCCAGCACTGGTTCTTGGACCCCAGAGACTGAACCCTCATGAGTTCATCCCTATGAGATTTGGGGGTCCCCACCTCTCTGCCTCTGCACCCTTGGACCCACACAATAGCCTTCACCAAATGCCCACCCCAAGTGAAGGAGGCGCAGGGTGTGTGTCTAGGACACAGAATGCACACATACAAGTGTGCGCCTGCCCAGCACAGGGCCAGGCCCCTCCAGAAGGGAGAGCCTCTGTCACCACATCAGTGGCCTCCAGCCCTACCTCCCAGGGTACTCAGAGAACATTCGAGGTCCCAAGGCCAAGCTCGGCTCCTCCCACCAGGAGGCTTGCACTGGGGAGCATGGTAGCTGCTGTGCAGGGGTGCATACTGCAGTAATCAGGGTGACAGGTCCTTCGGTCTCCACCCTGCGGTCCCTCCCCTCCCCTGCAGCAGCCACACCTAACTGAGCCCTGAAGCCAGCCCTGAGGGACCCAGAAGGAGGAGGTGAAAGTTTGGGGGTAGGGGTGGGGAGTTGAGGGGTAAGGGAGGTAGGGGGTAGGGGTTAGGGGTAGGGGCTGGGCAGCCCCATGAGTGTGTTTCCAGTGAGATGGAGGAGCCAGGCCTCACCAGCAGGACGCTGTAGGCTCCTTCGTGCCTAATGGCACCTGTGACCTTGCCATGACCTCTGTTTCTCTAGCTCAGGGTCCTTTCTAGGCCTTGAAGTGGCTCCTTAGGAAACATACCTTCAAGGTCTAGATGGTGAAATCTAGGTGAGATCCTGGGGAAAATGATCTACCTTGTTCTCAGTGGCCAGTAGGAACCAGCTTCTTCCCATTCTACTGTCATTCTTCCGTTCTCAAATTCGTCATTCATTCATTGACTCACCCGTTCATTCAGGAGCTCCCATCCCAGAGAGGAGCTGGGATGCCTGCCTTTCGCCCGGGAGAGAAGCCTGGGGTGACTGTGGGTGCCAGGGTGTGCCCCTATTCCCCCATCGGATCCCTCTCTTCCGGGTTTCTCTTCGCTTGCCACCCCTCCCCTTCCAACCTCCGCTTTCCTCCCTGCTGCAGAGAGGCTCACTTTCTCAGCCTGCGTGCCCCCGGCACCCTCGGCCTCTGGATTCTGGGGGGATTTGGCTAATGGGAGGCATGGACAAGAGACGGGGGCAGGGATAGGGAACAGACTGCGCCCCTCACCTTGCAATGGTCACAGGTCCCGGAGGGTGTCCCTCAGAGGCTGATAATTGCTCCCCCTTGATGCTAGGCCTTGGGTGCCTGGACACTCCCCCCCTGGCTTTTGTGATCCTGTTCACGCATCTGTAAACTTGCCTGCATTTGATGGCACCTGTGTCCTGCCAGGACCCTGAAGTGCACACCTGTCACCTGGAGCCACTCATGGAGGGGGGAGGGCAGGGACAATCAGGAAGCTTGATAGAAGTCAGAAAATGGCCAGCCTCCTGAGAGCTGAGAGGAAGTCTAGAGAGGGGCAGCAGGGCCCCCAAGACGGTGGGCTGGAGGGAGGGAGAAACAGAGAGCATGGGGGCAGGGGCCGCCCCGCCTGTCTGTGAAGGATGTGTTCTTTCCCTTTGCTTTGGTTTTTGTAGTTACTTAGAATTTTTTTAATAATTTTTTATTTTTTTATTAACATATAAGTATTATTAGCCCCAGGGTACAGGTCTGTCAATCGCCAGGTTTACACACTTCACAGCACTCACCATAGCACATACCTTCCCCATAACCCACCACCCTCTCCCTACCCCCCGCCCCCTGTTACTTAGAATTTTTGTTAGATTTATTTAAGAAGTTTTCTAAGACCTATTTATCAGACATCGGTCTTTTGCTTGCCTAAAAAAGAAATTAAAAACTCAATAAATATGTTAAGCTATCCCCCAAACTTCTTGACATTTAGTATTTGGCTCTTATGAATCACTTTTAAAATTTTTATTTGTCATTTCCATGCAATAAAACTCACTCTTTTTAGTGTACCCCCCACTGTTCATCTTCCCACCAGTACAAGCTGCTCCTTTGTGGTCAGCCCCTCCCTGCCCCTACCCCCTGGTCTGTTCTCTGATTCTACAGTTGTTGTTGTTTTTAAGATTTTATTTATTTATTTGACAGAGAGAGACACAGTGAGAAAGGGAACACAAGCAGGGGGAGTGGGAGAGGGGAAGCAGGCTTCCTAGCAGAGCAGGGAGCTCAATGAGGGGCTCAATCCCAGGACGCTGGGATCATGACCTGAGCTGAAGGCAGACACTTAACGATTGAGCCACCCAGGCACCCTGATCCCACAGTTTTAAAGATTCATTTATGTATTTGAGAGAGAGAAAGAGTAGAAGCAGGGGTGCAAAGGGAGAGAGAGAACCTTAAGCAGGCTCTATGCTGAGGCTGAGTGGGGAGCCCAAAGCCGGGCTCGATCTTATGACCCTGAGATTGCGACCTGAGCCGAAACCAAGAATCTGAATGCACTCAACCAACTGCACCACCCAAGCACCCCCGATCCTGCAGTTTCTCATGGAATGTCCCTGAGGGAGAGGGTGGAGGCAGCTGGAGAGTGGGCAGCCTCTCTCAGAGGCACCTTTTCTACACAGACAACAAACACCCTGGGGCCTGAGCACCAGGAAGGAGGCCCCCAGCTGCGACTCCTTCTATCTTCCCCCTCACTTCGCATCTGGCAGCAGCAGAAGGAAGGACTTGGGGGCAGGTGAGGGCGGTGTGGCCTAGGATGGGGGCAGCCCCAGGGAGCTCTGGGCGGCCCGGGGTGCAGGGATCTGAGTGCCTCCCCTGCTCTGCCAGCCCCCACCCACCCCGGGACTCCGAGAGGACAGGTGGTTACAGTGGAACGGCCACCCGGAACCGGCAAACCGAGGACATGCTCTATGGAGTCACTGCAGGGTACGCTTATATGATGATCATTTCTTCAGCTGTGCATTAGTCTCTGGGCTAGACCTCATCTTCACCCCAAACAACAGTGTTTTGTTGCTGCCAGGTTAGTACTGACCCTGTTTTATCAGCGAGGACACGGAGAGTCGGAGAGGCTGCTCCCCAGGTCACACCGCCAGGACCTGGACCCAGGTCTGTCCCACTCCAGAGTGATGAGGTGTCACTCACGGTTTAGTCTAGTGGCTGTGTGCCTTCGGGTGAACTACCCAGCCTTTCTGAATTTTAGGGTCTTCATCTATAAAACAAAGGCAACGTATACTCCTGCCTTCTAGGGCTGTCGTGAAAGTCAATAGTGACCCCGGCATTTGACACAGAGTAGGTTACGCATTAAATATTGTTAGAGGTTGAGTTGTGTTCCCTCAAATTCATATGTTGAAGTCCTAACTCCCAGTACCTCAGAATGTTGTCTTATTTGGACATAGGATCATGGCAGATGTAATTCTTTTTTTTTTTTTAAGACTTTATTTATTTATTTGACAGAGAGAGACAGAGAGAGAGAGGGAACACAAGCAGGGGGAGTGGGAAAGGGAGAAGCAGGTGCAGGCTTCCCGCCGAGTGGGTTGCCTGATGCAGGGCTTGATCCCAGGACTCCAGGATCATAACCTGATCCAAAGGCAGATGGTTAACCAGCCGAACCACCCAGGTGCCCCTGGGTGACTTTAAGTTAAATCAAAGTCATTTGTGTGGGCTCTAGTCCAATATGACCGATGTCCTCACAAAAAAGAGGAAATCTGGGCACAGAGATACAGCGCAGGGAAAGTCCCACTTGAGGACCAAAGCAGAGATCAGGGTGGTGCTTGTACAAGCCAAGGATAACAGCAAGACTACAGAGAAGTAAGTAGAGTAACTTGTTCAAGTTCACCAAGTTAGCAAGTTCCTCAGCGTGCTTCTTTGTAAAGGGGGATACTGATAGCATCCACTTCGTGTTTGCTGATCGAGGCAATTAAATACAGTAACATATGAAAAGTGCTTAGTAGTGTCTAGTAGGTGTTAAGGACTCATTAGTATTATCTGGTTGTCTTTGCTCCTCAAGTCAGCCCAGTCTGGGGCCTGCCCCCTCCCCAGCACATCCATTTCCATCACGGCCTTGAACCAACACACCCCCTTGGCTGTGAGCTGCCCCCGGGCCTGTGGTGACCACTCCTGGCTCTTCTCCATAGCTCGGGATAGGTCGTCCTCTGCAAGGCACTGTCCTCTCTCCCTCCCCTGAAACCCGGGCCCCGATTGAACACACTTGCTTTCCAGATGGCCAGTTCCGGGGGGGACTCAGGATCCCTGGGCTCACTGTCCTCTTGCCCAGTTCTGGGCACTCTGTGACCTGCTACTTCAAAGCAAAGCCTTTTTGGTGAGTTGGGGCGGGGGGTTGGCCCCCTGTGAGCCCCTTCCTGCCTGAACAGGTACCTCTTGTCTTCCTGTTCTCACGATGGGCATCGGATCAGCTGTGAAGCCATGTCAGCCTCCCTGCAGCTTTCGAAGTGCTGCCCCCAGAAAGAGGGAGGAGGACAGGCTGAGAGAAACAGGATATACGTGGCCTGAGCTGACCCAGATCTGTGGAGACGCCTGGATCCCGCAAGCCCACCAGCACCCCTATGGCTCTAGTTGGCCCAGCATGGGACTTGGGTGGCCATCGGGGTTCCCTCTGGAACCACTGGCTGTGAACCACTGGGGTTCTACAGCACTGGCCTGGTAAGAACCAGCCCCAGACTCCCCTCCAGAGAGGCCTGGCAGCCAGCCTCCTCCTCTCCAGAGCAGAGTGGGCTCCCCAGGGCCTTTCAGGCACTAGAGCAATCTTGCTTTCTTAACTTTCCACCCCTGGCATCAGAAGCTACCAGAGCAGTAGAGCAGCCTGAGGGACACCCCACCTAGGGTCCCCCAGAGGCCTCACCCCCCATCTCTCGGAATTGTAGCCCAGGAGGACCTGGCTGGCAGGAACTCAGCACCAGTTCCCACAGCTCTGTTTGGCTTCCAAGAGCACGCACTCCTCCCTCCACCGTAAGCAGGAAATGCTCAGCCCACAACCACAACCCCCACCCAGCCTGCCCCTGAGAAGGCCTAAGAGAAGACAGCCGCCTTCCACGGTGAAGTGTTGAGAGGCCGTGTAAGGGGAAGGTCTTGCCCCTGTGCCCCTCCCAGGACCTCCTGCTTCAGCCACTCCAGGCCAGAGAGCCCCTCTTCTGAATTCCCAGAGCCAACCCTGCACCCTCTGTCATCTGCCCACCACCCTGAGGTCCTGATGTGAGCTGAGGAGCGCCCCCTATGCTTCTGGGCTGACCCTGACCCCCTGGACAGAACTGACTCCTCCCTCGTGTCTCCTCCCAAAGGACATCAGTCCTGCCCCAGGCAGGATCCCAAGCCCTGGCTTCAAGGGCCAGGGGCTTCAGATGGATCTGGCTGATAAGCCCACTGGAGCCTGACTGTCGGGCCTCTTGCACCCCAGCCAATGATAGGTGGGCCTCGTGCTCCTGGATGGGAACCCTGTCCCCAGTAGGGACACCTACAGACTCTGGGCATCAACCAGGTTTGTCTGGGACAAGAGAGGACACTAAGGTCCACAACTCAGTCCTGTGGGGCCGAGTGGCCTCTGTCCCCATAAGGCACAGTGCAGGAGCCTAGAAGGCTTGAGTTGCTTCCTCTTTCTTTTCCTTCTTATCCAGGTGCCTCGTGCTCTTCAGACAGGCAGGAAGAATGGAGTCCTCATCCCTTCTCTGACAGGGCCCAGTTGTGGGGACGGAAGTGGTTTGAATGAAACGCTGAGTTCAGCAGATTTTCTGAGCGCTTGAATCATGGCAGGCAGGGGTGGGGGGGTGGTATCAGGATGTCTGGGCGAGGCATCCTGGCAGTCTAGAAGGAAGATGTAAGTGGGGGAGGGGTCAGCAGAAGGACCAAGGATGAGGGCACGGAGAGGCAGGGCAGCTCTGATGGCGAGGTGGGAGGGGTGGGGGTGGAGGGTTGGGGAGTGGCAGGGGACAACACTAAGGCACTGAGCTGAGCTAGGAGAGTCTCCACCACCTTTATTTGAAGAACTGATGAGAGGGGCTTCTAGGCAGCTCAGTCGGTTAAGTGTCTGATTCTTGATCTGGGCTTAGGTCATGATCTCAGGGTTGTGAGATGGAGCCCCGAGTCAGGCTGGCATGGAGCCTGCTTAAGAGTCTCTCTTGTTAGGGAGCCTGGGTGGCTCAGTGGGTTAAAGCCTCTGCCTTGGGCTCGGGTCGTGATCCCAGGGTCCTGGGATGGAGCCCCGCATGGGCTGTCTGCTCAGCGGGGAGCCTGCTTCCTCCTCTCTCTCTCTCTCTCTCTGCCTACCTAACTCTCTGCCTGCTTGTGATCCCTGTCAAATAAAAAAAAATAAAATCTTAAAAAAAAAAGAGTCTCTTTTGTCAGCTCCCTCTGCCCCTCCCCTCTCTCGCCCTCTCTTAAAATAAATAAATAATGAGTGAGCAGTTGAGAAATCCAGACAATAGGGCTACCCTGGGATCTGAGAGTTTATTCAAGAAAGAGATGTGGAAACTGGAGTTTCTGAGCTATTCCTGGGAGCTCCAGAGCCTGCTTGTACCGTGGGACCAAGGTCCAGAGCAGAGTCCATGGAAGAGGAGCAGAAGCCAGGTTGCCAGGGGTCGGGGCGAGGGAAAGTGCTGAGCACAAAGGAAAAGGGAAGTAGCCTCTGTTCTTAGAAGGGCCAAGGGAGCAGAGAGCCAGGACCTGGGATGGCGACAGCACAGCTCCTGAGACCTCAGGCCGTGGGAGGAGGTGAAGGGAGCAGCAGATTGCGGGGCTACGTGGGGATGTGAGGTCTAGGGGTGTGCGTGTGACAGTGCTAGCCCAGTGGGGGACTTGCAGGCCATGCCCTGGAAAGCTCTGAGGGGTGACAGTTGGTAAGAAATGGGGAGGCCTCCCCAGGATGGCCTTCCTGGGAATCGCTCATAATAAGGCTACCATGTGCATGTTTACAGGAGCCGAGAGTGGCTCAGCCTGAACAGTGACCCACAGGGACCCCTCATTTTGTGATGTAAGCACTTTCGCTCTCCCTCCACAGAATGGAAGCTCCAGGAGGGCAGGGGGCTTGTCCACTGTTTCGTGCTGGCCTGTAGAAGTTGCTCACTGAGCACTCACTGAATTCAGGCCTCGCAGCCGACCTGTGACAGAGATGTTATCCTCATTTCACAGCTGGGAAATGGGGGCTCCAAGAGAGTCTGTGGTTAGGTCCAGGTCACATAATGCCTCCGTGGCTGAACCAGGGACTGCCTCAGGCCTGTTCGACTCCAGGGCCTGACGTCTAGTCAACATGTTTCCAGAAACAGGGGGTACCTGGGAGACAGGTGAGCCTGGGGGAATCCTAGGGGCTGAGGCTGAGGGGGTGGGTCTCTTGGAGGGGAGGTAAAGGCAGCCATCCTTCGCATAGTCCTGCCCTGAAAGGGGCAGGTTCAGAGTTGGGGGCGGGTGGTTCTTGTCCCACTGCGCCTTGCACCTCTGTCCTCTGTCCCTACCACTCAGACTAGGCTTCTTTCAGTTCCCTTTGGTAACATGGCTCCCCCCACCCACACACCCATGCTCCCCGGCCTCTACCGGAATCGGGCCTCTCACCGCACCCTCAATCTGCCACCCTATTCAGGGGAAGTGGGGGCGGGGGCAGGGGCTGGCTCACCGTTGGGAGTGAGGGGCCTGGACACATATCTAGGGCTGTGGAGGCAAAGTCTCCCTGTTCCCATGTGGCCAGGGCCTGCTGGGGGTGTGGGGGTGGGGCTGGGGGGCCAGGAGTGATTGTGTGGTCTTGGGGTAGCCTCACTTCTCTTTTGCTTTTGCTTCACCACAGACAGCATGGGGAGGCAAGGGGACCCTTCTGTTTTGGAAGAACCTGAAGGATGAGCTCTGCCACTGCCCCTTCCTCCCTAGGCCATGTCTCTGGCCCAGAGTGCTTCTTGGTTGAGGTTCCCTTGGTCCCAAGGCAAGACTCCAGGGGAGCAGAGCTCCTGCATAACCCCTGTCACTGGGGCCTCATACCAATGCTGTGAGTTCAGTAACCTCTTCTCCCCTTCACAGACAGAGAATGAGACTCACAGGACCTGCTTGAGGTCACTTAGCACCAGATATGGATGCCTGCTCAAGTGTGGTGAGCTTCCTCAACCACAGCCCCTGCACACTTCTTAACGAAGTTTAGAGTCTCTAAGAGTAGGGACCTCCCCTGAGCAAAAGGGACAGTACATAGGGGGCAGGGGGCAGCATCTTAGAATTTCATGGTCCCTCAGACTGTGTGTGGGACATCTGACAATAAAAGAAGTCTCTTGGTGGCTATTACTCCAGATATATTTTCTGGATTGACATATAATATCTTTTCTATCGAGCGTAACTGATCTCCGGTGGAAAAGGGTTCCCATTTTGTGGCCACTTTCTATTTAATGGCAGTTTCATTTTTACAGAAGAAAAATATAAAACAATCTACCTATCCACGTTTTTCCCATCCACACTTTAAATTTTCAAAAATATGAGAGAGCAAAATACTCAGCAGAATACAAATAATAAAATACTTATACATAATTATATTTCCAATTTATGTTAGGGCTTGGGGTTGGGGGAGAGGGAGAGAGATGCAGAAAAGATGAAAAAAAGACACCACACAGTAAGTAATGATACAGATTTGAAGATACAGAAGATTTGAAGATTTGAAGATACAGATTTGAAGAACAACACAGGCATTCCTAGAGGGAAAAGGAGAGGAGGGAAAGGTCAAAGTTCTGATTCATCAGCTAATACTGGATTTGGAGAAAACATAGGAACCTCTGAACTTTAAGGGCAAATAATACTATCAAAAATGTATATATTTTGGGGCACCTGGGTGGCTCAGTGGGTTAAAGCCTCTGCGTTCGGCTCAGATCATAATCCCAGGGTCCTGGGATCTAGCCCCACATCGGGCTCCCTGCTCGGCAGGGAGTCTGCTTCCTCCTCTCTCTCTGCCTGCCTCTCTGCCTACTTGTAATCTCTGTCAAATAAATAAATAAATAAATAAATAAATAAATCTTTTTAAAAAATATATATTTTTTAGTTGCTATCTAAAATTTAATCAATTAACTGGGAAATTTTCTTCATTTAAAAATATTTTTATTAAAAATTACTATAGGGGCATCTAGGTGGGCTCGGTCAGTTAAGCATCTGCCCTCCGCTCAGGTCATGATCCCAGCGTCCTGGGATCGAGCCCCACATCCGGCTCCCTGCTCAGCGGGGAGCCCACTTCTCCCTCTCACTGTCTACTGCTCTGCCTTCTTGTGCTCTCTGTCAAATAAATAAAATTTTTTGAAAAATAAAAATTACTATAGAAAACAATGAAAAGACAAAAATAGTCCCTGAGTAAGCTGATTCCAATAGGGATCAGACATTAAAATAAAAATTTCATAAGTGAAGCCAGTGAGGATGAGCCTGGGAGTTGAGAAACCCGACCAAGGATCCCAAGTCGAGGTAGGCTTTCCAGAAGAGATGATGCTGAAACAAAATTCCGAGAGCAGTCATTATCAAGCAAAGAAGGCTTTCAGGAGGAAGAACAGGACATATGAAGGTTCAGTTGGTGAGACCCATTTATGGAACCGAAAAACGTTCAGGACAGCAGGTAGACAGTCAAAGTAGGGCTAAGTGTGACCCTCAGGACAAGAGAGCAGGCACTCACCCCGAGAGGTCCCTAGGGCGACCAGAGAGGGAGAGCTGGGGCAGGCAGGTGCGAAGGTTGAGACTTAGAAATGGACAGAGTGGCTTAAGGAGCCCTGTCTGCAAGCACGTGGAGGAGGAGGAGGTGTCCGAAACCGGAGGCCCGTGGCTTGGCCGGGGAGAGACCCCCGAAGGAGCGCGGGCGGGGCGAGGTCCCGCGATTTGTCAGTCGGCCCTGCGGCGCGCTCCTTTGCACTCTGTTGACTGTCTGTGTCTGCCCGGATCTTGAGCTCCCGAAGGGCGAAGGGCGCGGGCTGGGGAAGTTCCCGAGCCCCGCGGTGCACTTGGGCATCATGAGGAGGGGGTCTGGGGTTGGTAAATGACTGTCTCGCAGTTCCCGAATGCGGAAGGAGCCCAGTAGTCTGCCTGGCGTCTCCTTGGGGAGGCCTTGGGCTGCAGGGGAGTCCGGCCGAGCCCGATGCTCAGGGGCCCTCCGTCCCGCGTCAGCGTGGTGGGGGGCGGGGGCAGGGTGGTCCCGAGGGGCAGGGCGGGGCGCTGCGGGCGCTCCCAGGCTAGGCTGCCGCGGCCCAGGGGCGGGGGCGGTTGATGCGGAAGTGCCAGGCGGGCGCAGCTCAGGGAGAGCGCAGCTCGGCCCCGCCGCCCGGCCCGTGGTCCCGGGCGCAGCCACGCGGGCGCACGTAGACAGGTAGGTCCCGACCGCCCGCGCTCCTTTCCGCGCCCTCCCGGCACCTGCCGGCGGCGGGCGACGGACTGGGGCAGGGCGGGAGCGCGGGAGGGGTCGGCGTCCGGCTCCGCCAGGTGGTGGAGCTCCAGAGGGGTGTTGGGGTGGGGGTGGGGGTTGCGCCTACTGCAGGGCGCGCCCCTCTGGTCTGGCGGCCTCCAAGGTGCTTCCTACGTCCGGATCAGCGCTGGATGCGCCGCACCCGCAGCCTCCGTCCCGCAGGCACCGGGAGAGCCGGGAGGCCGGGACGGCGGTGGGGTCACCAATGCAGGGGCGCCAGCTCCGCTCTTCTGTCCTTCCCTCCGCAAGGATGGAGAGCGCCGGGGCGCCCCACGGCGGTCTGGCTTGGGTCTTAGAGGGGCGAGCCCCTAGTCCCCCTTTCGGCGCGCTTTGCAGCCACCCTGTCGGTTAAGAGGATGAGGCTTCAGGCACTCGTCTTCCCAGGACCTCAAGGGCAATGGCAGGAACTCGGGCAGATTGTGTAGGAAGATGGTGTCGGGTAGGGGCGCCGTCTTTTGGCTCGCGACGGACAAGAGGCTCTGACTCTCCTAGCGGAGAAGCCTGGGAAGAATTCGTGGACGAGTTTCTTTACGCCCTTCCCTCGAACTTAGGAACAAAACAAGTAAGAGTCTGAAAGTAGAGGGAAAGTGAGATGGCTGGGGCCGCGACGCGGGTAGAAGGTGTTCCCCACCTCTTCCCCGCAATGAGTAGGGTCTCTAGGCAGTCGGGGGAGGGGGCGCGAAAGGGTGGAGAAGAGACTGGGGGCGCCGTGGGCGGGAGGAGGGCTCCCGAGGCAGAACCCGACCCCGAGCCCGCGCCCCGAGCGAGGATAAGTGACCGGGACCTGCCAGGACGCAGGCGGGACCGATGGAGGAGGCTAGAGGTGCAGCGGGGGCCAGAGGTAGAGTCCCCGCCCTCCCTGGAGTTTTCCGGTCGGGCGCGGAGACTTCTGTCAAGTCGGAGGCACCGGGAATCCACTCTTTTGTACCTAAAGGTCTTGCTTTGGGGTTTCCCCCTGCACATCGGCCTTCCCCTGCAGGAAGCCGAGAGAGGCATCTGCTGCCTCAGAGCCTCGGCTTGGCTCGGGATGTGTCAGCCCACCCAGAGGGTGTGTGGTTAGGGTCATACCAGGTGCAGCGAACCCTTTGCCTTCTTCCGAGTTCAGTGTGGGGTCTGCGGGGAGACAGTGTGATTCAGACAAACTCCACAGGTGGCAAGGGCTTGAAGCTCTTCCCACGAGGGGGCTGCCCAGCTTCCTCCCAGGTCCCAGGCCCTGGTCCCCACGATGTTGCAGGTTCCTCAGGTGGTTGGCTCCTGGAATTTAGGGCTCTGGGGTGAATTGTGGGGCTTCCCCACCTCAGCAGAAGTTCCTGAGCTGCTCCTCTAGACGCTTCACTTTTATACAATTCACCCATGAGGGCTTCCTCAGGTCCTCAGAAGCCTCAACTCTTTTCTTCATTTTTTTTTAAAAGATTTTATTTATTTATCTGACAGAGAGCGAGCACACATACAAGCAGGAGGAGGGGCAGGCAGAGGGAGAGGGAGAAACAGGCTCCCCACTGAGCAGAGAGCCCCATATGGGGCTCAGTCCCAGGACTCCGGAATTAATGATCTGAGCAGCAGGCAGACCCTCAACCCAGATGCTCAGCCGACTGAACCACCCAGGCGCCCCTCCTTTCCTCATTTCCATGGAAACTGATGCCGGTTTTTCTGGCTTTCCTCACTTTCCAGGGCTCAAACCCTAGGTCTGGGAGCTGCAGAAATGTCACCCCAAGTCTCCAGACCTCTGAGAAGGCAGAACTGACTGGGCCTGCCGTCTATTGAAAAGTCAAGTCCTCACAGCAAGGGGAGGGGGGGTAGAACATGGGCCTTCTGAGGTGGTGCCTTATTTTCCAAGGTCCCCCGGGAGTGTAGGTGACTGTTTCTACCTGGAGACAACACAGGGATGGGGCACAAAAGGGTCGAAATTTAGAGCTCTTGGCCTTAGGATAGTCTGAGATCTAAATCCACCTCTAGGCAGGAGGCAGCCTGTTTGGGAAATACTGAGCCTGATCCTGGTGCACCTAAGGCTGAAGACCTTTCTTTGGCCTTCCCGACACCCTCCCTTGGCCCTGGCCGGACTTGTTACGACAGCCTCTTCTCCATACCCCGCTCCTTAGCTGCCCAGAGCGATTGTACCCTACTGACATGAGTAATTTCAAAATCTTTGTCTTGAACAGCCCCACTGGGCCAGGCTAGGCGGCAGAACTCACCCTGACTTCCTCCTTGCCCTGGGCAGAGGAGGAGGCCCTCTCTGGTCTCCCAGTTCCCACCACCCCAGGCACAGTTGTGGGCCTGACCATGTGGAGGGCTGGCTGTCAGGGTAGCTTACCTTCTCCTTCGGGTCGAGAGAGCTTTCCTCTGTCCACCCTCACGGAGCCACAATTGGCAGCTACCAATGACTGTCACTGGTCTGTTCTAGGACCAAGGCCTCTGGGCAGAGGGCACAGGTGGGGACTATAAATAGCACTGCGGTGGGCTAGGCTCTAACCCAGGGCTGTGAACCGCACCAAACGTATAATGACCCTCAGCAAGGCTTGGGGATTGGGGAATGAGCTACAGGGTAAGGGATTGAGAATTTGGTCTTGGGGACCCAAATGTCAATTTTTCCATGTATCTTCCCTCCCCCAGTTCACAGTGAGTCAGATTTCCGCGTTGTCTTGTCTGGCCACTTTCATTTCCCCTGGGACTGGGTGGAGGTTGGTTCAGAAAGGGGAACTGAGCCACCAGTCTTATGAGGCCTGGGGACAGGGCTGGGGGCTCTCCCACTCTCCCTGTCCTAGCCCAGAGCTGGGCACTGCTCTGAGGAGAGGTCTGCGGATGGAGATGTCTTCGCAGCGGGAAGGTAGCACTTAGCGACTCCAGCCCCAAAAGATACTGGGCAGGGAATTTCTGGGGAACTGAGCTCCAAGCAAGCCTGGAATGATAGGGTCCACACCTGAGAGATCGTCTTGTTCCAATCTCCCACCTAAAGTGGGCCAGGAAGTCCCCCGGGCTTGAGTACCCCCAGAAAACAGTTGCTCCCAGGCCTACCCTAGTAGTTCCATGGTTTTAGCTGTTATAAAGTTCTTTTTCGATCTGGGTCTAGTCTGCCCCGGTGGAGGCTGTCCAGATGTTGACTCAAACCCTAGCCCTTTTGTCCCATGTTGGTACCACAAATGTTACAGAGAGTTCTGGTCCCTATCCACCAATCCAGAGGCTCCATTTCCTTCAGCCATTCCTTCCATGATAGGCCCAACCCACCGTAGATCCCTGCCTGTGTCACAGCCCCAGCGGCCTTCCTCTGACCTCTGGTCTCACCCCACTCTGAGTCAGAGGAGGATCCCAGAGACAGCAGGGCTGGTGGTGGGGAGAAACAGCTGGAGGACAGAATCTTCCAGCATCTGGGGTATATCAGTTAGCTGGTATTTCTCAAGTCCCACTTAAGGCCCCTATCCTGGTGACCAGGAGGTAGACCAAGGGGGCCGATGGGATTTCTCTCAAGATGTCTAGATGTGGGGAAGCTTCAGTCCTGAGGGAAACTGAGGAGGAAAGGAAGCTCTGAGGAACGGGTGTGGGAACCCTCTCTTCATTCCCACACTATGACTTGCTCTTTGGCCAGGTTTCCTAGAAGGTGACAGAGCGAGGGAATTCTCAGGACAAAGAGAGGAAGGGCAGAAGGGAAGGGAGGGAGGCAGGGTGGGCAGGAGGAAAGCTGAGGAAAGAGGTGGAATGGGCTGCACTGGTTTGCTCCACCCGAAGCAAGGGGGCTGGCTTTTTGTCCCTGCGTGTCAGTCATTCGTCAGCTGTGGGCAGCCTAGCCCTGGAGCAGCTCCGTACCTTTGTGGCCTTCCAGCCTCACAGCAGCTGGGGAGTCGATGCCCCACCTGGTACAGCATGTCTGGGGTGGGGGGAGCACGCACAGCATCCCCTCTCTCTGTAACCCCCTTCTTCTCCCCTCCCACCCTCAAACAAAAAGCACAGACACGGTGACCCTATGACAAAGAGGTTGATGGTTGGAAAAAGGAATTGACTGGGAGCATCCGGGCAGATGGGAGACACTCCAGCCCCCAGTGCTGGGAGAAAGAGAAAAGCCATACTATCCCTGGCTTGGACCCCCATGTACTCCAGCCCCCCATCTTCCTGCTGCAGGGAGCGTCTATCTGCAAATCTTCTGATGACTAATGACCCCCTCTTTCTCCCACAGACCCCTTTGCCATGAACCAGCCTGCCTCCAGGGCCCCCCCTCCGCCCCGCCGCGTGCGACTGAAGCCCTGGCTGGTGGCCCAGGTGAACAGCTGCCAGTACCCAGGGCTGCAGTGGGTCAATGGGGAAAGGAAATTCTTCTGCATCCCATGGCGTCACGCCACGCGGCACGGCCCCAGCCAGGACGGAGACAATACCATCTTCAAGGTAAGCTCCGGGTGGCGGTGACTGCCTGGACTTCCGGGGCACCCTTGCCCTCAAAGAGGATCCCCATACATCTCACACTGACACCTCTCCTGGCCGCCTGGCCGTAGGTGACCCCAGGCTCAGACCCGGGGATGTGTCTTTTTTTTTTTTTTTTAAGTTTTTTTTTTATTATTTATTTGTCGGAGAGAGAGAGAGAGAGAGCGCACAGGCAGAGTGGCGGGCAGAGGCAGAGGGAGAAGCAGGCTCCCCGCCAAGCAAGGAGCCCGATGTGGGACTGGGATGTGTCTTTTTTAACCTACCCCCAGCTGTGTCTTTTTTAAGCTCTTGCCCAGAGCAACATAGGCAACATAGGCATGGAAAGGTCCACCCCCGGGAGACCTTCCGCCTCTTCCCTTTTCTTGTCTCATTCTTACCACCCGAGAGTACGGGTGCAGCGTGCGTGTTTGGTACGTGTTGGATCTAAATGGAAACCACAGATTGCCCCCGTGATGGGAACACAAGGAGCTAACTGCATTTGCACTTTTCTGTATGTGCATCGATAAAATTAAAACGTGAAATCGTTGTTTTGCATCCTGCATTTTCCAGCCAACATCAGAACCAGCTTTCCTCTGCCACGAAGGCCACGTCACTTTCAGCGACTGCTGGAGGGGTCAGCAGTTTAGTTATCCAAACCCTGCGTTTGGACCCTTCCCGTTCCTTCTAGCGTCCCGGTGTTGATGCTCTCCTTTGTCTTGGCAGGTTGATATTTACCCTTTGAAGGTTCTTTTCAAATCTCTCTCTTATTTTTGAATAGGTACCGCAATTCAAAATTTAAAAAAGTGTAATATGGTTTGCAGCAAAGAAAAATCTCCCTCCCACCCCAAAAAAGTCTCCAGCCACCCCCTCCCTCCCCAGAGGCAATTAGTATTGTCATTTTCTAGTTCATCCTTCCTGAGAGATTTTTGTGCATACACACAAATAGGTACCTATCTTCCCCCTGCTTTTCACAAAATCATAGATGTAGATGTACCTTTCTGCATCTCCCATTTTTTGAAGATTATAACATGTCAGGATATCGAAAACGTCTTCCTTTTTTTTTTCTTGCTGCCCAGTATTCCATTCTAAGGATTGGCTGTAATTTAACCAGTTCCCAGGGATGGACATTTGTTCGGGGTCTTCTGTTTTTACAAATAGTGCTGCAGTGAGAAACCTCGTAGGTGCAGAATTTTGTGTGGCTGCTTCTGTATCCCGACGATAAATTCCTAGAGGTCGAATTGCTAGGTTAAGGGGAAGAAATATTTGTAATCCTGCTATCAGCCAACTTACCCCCCAAAATAATACCAACAGCTAAGGTGTATGGAGCCCATCCAAAAGGCAGGCACAGTTCTGGAAGCTCTGTGGGCCCTGGAGTCTTCACTACCACCCTGTGAGGTGGGCACTGTGATGAGGATGTTATGGCAAAAAGAGGCAAAGTGACGTGCCCCTGGCACACAGCTGGTGGTTGGCTGTTTCCAGATTCAAACCCAACCCCACTGCAGATCTCATGCTCTCATCCACCATGTGACACTGTCCTCCTTAGAGACTACCTATATGTACCCTGGCAGGAGCAGTGAAGGAAATGCCTTTCAAAGCCCTTAGGTACTTCCTTTCCTTTGTCGGAGTCCTGAGGGTGGGGAAGGACTGCAGTCCTATCTCCCACCTGGCAGAGGGAGACTCAGGTCAGGCTCCGTGTGTCCCTGAAGTTCTCACAGCTCAGCAGTAACTCCCATGAGCCAGGAGGGGCTGGGGCTTTGGCGAGGACGGAGGTTCTCTGTGGTTGCCTATCTTTTCTTCCTGCCTCAGGCCTGGGCCAAGGAGACAGGCAAGTACACGGAGGGGGTGGACGAGGCGGACCCGGCTAAGTGGAAGGCCAACCTGCGCTGTGCCCTTAACAAGAGCCGTGACTTCCGCCTCATCTACGACGGACCCCGGGACATGCCGCCTCAGCCCTACAAGATCTACGAGGTCTGCTCCAATGGCTCTGCTCCCGCAGGTATCAGGCCTGGCCCTGTGCGGGCTCCCTAGGAGGCTGTTAAGGAAGGCCCAGGGCCCCTCCAGGATGCAGTGGCGAGGGACATGCTTCGAAGTCGTGACACCCCAGGTTCCTGGGAGTGGCCCGCGATGGATCCTGTGCTGGGGCCCTGAATGACTTGGCACAGACCGGGCTTTGTGTCTGTCTTCCTCAGCTTGTCCCTGTTCTTGGCTCTTGGTTCCACGGCGTGTAGGTCTAGTGACCTGAGGAGCTTAGTGCCATGGGGTCAGGGAGGTCCCTAGCGATTTCTGGTGGCTGTGTGGCCTTTCACCTCACTGCTGGAGCTGTCCTACGGAGCCCTGGTGGCCTTCCTTCTCCTCCCCTACTGACTCCCTTGCTTTGTGTCCTCTCCCTGCCCAGCAGAGTCACAGCCCAGTGAGGACTACACTTTTGGTGCAGGGGAGGAGGAGGAGGTGGAGGAAGAGGAAAACGCGAGCTCAGGACCGTTCTTGGCGGCATCCGCCTGTGCAGATGTGGTGGGTCTTGTTAGGGCCTTTCTGCTGTCCTGCTCTGCTTTCGGGTTAAGCGGTCCCTTTCCTCCAGGGCCCTGCTGCCCTTTTTATAGCTCTTCCTTTGGGTTTGTTCTTGGGGTTCTGAGGCTAGCCTAGACCTCCTTGGGGCTTCGTTGGTACAGAACACGCCCACATGTTGTCTGGCACACCCTCCTGGGGCTGAATAGGCACTACGACCTGTAGGTCCATGAGGACACCACGGCACTGAGAGTCCACAGAGCTGCCTGGGGGTGCAGAGCTGGGACCAAAGGCAGGGTCCGGCCTTGCAGAGCTGAATATCGGGGAATTGCCTGTGTGGTTCTCATGGGTTATTTCTTTAGCATCTGATCAACTCATTAACCTGTCCTCCCTTCTCTTTCTCTGGCCTATTCCCTCCTCCTTTGCCTGGGTCTTCCCTTCAGCTCCAGAGGATGTTACCAAGCCTGAGCATCACAGGTGGGGCCGGGAGGCGGGTGTGGTTGGGGGCCTAGTATACGGAGAAGCTTTAGGTCCCCTCAGTTTCTGGGAGGGGGCTGAAGGGAGGCTGCAGGGTGGGTGCCCAGGGTTGAGAGTAGGTGGGCCTGGGAGGAACGTTCTCAGAAGTGGCATTAAAATTCTGCCTGCCTCCACCCTCTGTAGAAGCTGTGCAACCTGGCCCCCCCATGGCACCCTATTCTTTACCCAAAGAGGAGGTCAAGTGGCCACCTGCTCTCCAGCCACCTGTGGTGCTGGGCCCTCCTGCACCGGACCCCAGCCTCCTGGGCCCCGCCCCTGGCAACCCTGCTGGCTTTGGGGAACTTCTCCCTGAGGTCCTGCCAAGCCTGCAGCCTGGGCCCCTTGCTGCTGGCCTGCCCCCCACGGGTGAACAACAGCTCTTGCCTGACCTGCTGATCAGCCCCCACATGCTGCCTCGTAAGGACCCTCAGGAGGGCTGGGCCGGGTAAAGTGGGCCTGGCGGGTTGGTTTGCAAGAAGGGTAGTGAAGGGCGAAGATGCGCAAGCCAGGCCCTCCCTGGGTGGTCGGGGGGAAGGAAGTGGGAGAGCCGACTAGATGGGCTGGCTGCTACTGAGCAGAGGACAGAGCAAGTCAGGGGCTGCAGAACAAGGAGGCGTGGGGCTCACAGACTGGCCGGGCCTGCCCTCTGCCCCACAGTGACTGACCTGGAGATCAAGTTCCAGTACCGGGGGCGACCACCCCGGGCCCTCACCATCAGCAACCCACAGGGCTGCCGGCTCTTCTACAGTCAGCTGGAGGCCACCCAGGAGCAGGTAGAGCTCTTCGGCCCCGTGAGCCTGGAGCAAGTACGCTTCCCCAGCCCCGAGGACATCCCCAGCGACAAGCAGCGCTTCTACACAAACCAGCTGCTGGACGTCCTCGACCGCGGGCTCATACTCCAGCTGCAAGGCCAAGATCTGTATGCCATCCGCCTGTGCCAGTGCAAGGTGTTCTGGAGCGGGCCCTGCGCCTCGGCCCACAGCTCACACCCCAACCCCATCCAGCGGGAGGTCAAAACCAAGCTCTTCAGCCTGGAGCATTTTCTCAATGGTGAGGGATTTGCGTCGTATTCCTTCTGGCTTTCTCTTGTGCAGGTGCATGGTTCTAGCCTCTAAGGCTCTTGATCTTGCTGCAGAACTCATCCTGTTCCAAAAGGGCCAGACTAACACCCCACCGCCCTTTGAGATCTTCTTCTGCTTTGGGGAGGAGTGGCCTGACTGCAAACCCCGGGAAAAGAAGCTCATCACCGTACAGGTAGACCACCATCTCCTCTCTCAAGCCCCTGCTCTGCTTTGGCTTGAATATTGGGGGAATCCTGGGGCTCAGCCCTTGCCCTAGGGTGGAGGCTTAGGGCTCTCTGAGCAGTGTGGACTTGGCAGCCAGAGATAATCAAAGCCTGGAGATGCCCACACATACACAGCCTTTATTATGAAGTAGAAATTGGTGCCCCTTCTTCCTGGTGGATGAAGTCCACCTGCCCCGTGGTGGATGCCTTGGGAACAACTGGATTTGACAATCCAGCCAAGGTTCTCCCTGTCCCTCTTTGCCCCCCAGGTGGTGCCTGTAGCAGCCCGGCTGTTGCTGGAGATGTTCTCAGGGGAGCTTTCTTGGTCAGCTGATAGTATCCGGCTACAGATCTCAAACCCAGACCTCAAAGACCGCATGGTGGAGCAGTTCAAGGAGCTCCATCACATCTGGCTCTCCCAGCAGCAGCTGCAGCCGGTGGCCCAGGCCCCTCCCGTTGCAGGCCTCAGTGCTGGCCAGGGGGCCTGGCCCATGCACCCAGCTGGCATGCAACAATGAGACTGCAGACAGGGACTGGTGCAGGCTTCCCAGGTGGCTGTGTGGGCTCATGTGAAGGTATGATGGCCCCTGTGGGCACCTGACCGGCTGCAGGGCCCTCTACCTGGGTCTCCTGGAAAGGGATTTGCACCGAGAGGGAAGAGAGGTCCCAGCTCCAGGCTCTCTCTCATAGCACCTGAGGGAAGCTGGAAGCCAGTTTTGCTTTGAGGGCTATCTTCCTCTATGTGCCTCTCCTCTGCTCCCCCTGGAGGAACTGAGCTATTAGCCCCAGTGAGCAGAGAAGTTAACTCCACCAACCCTGGGGGCCTAGTTGAGGGAATTGTCCCATAGTGGCCCACTCTTGTGGTTGTCCCCAATTCCTCAGGCAAAAAGAGACAAGTACAGTGGACCATGCCCCCTCACCAGGACATGGGTCTAATCCGATGTTGGGGTCCCCTAGTTTGAGCCTCACTTCCTCACATCTTTCTCCCTCCGAGATAGACAGGCACTTGGGTATCATACCAGATCCTTAAGGCCAGCAGCTACCTCCTCCTTGAGAGTCTAAGAACACAGGCAGAAGTAGAATTTTATGTATTTTTCAATTAATAAATATGAGAAACAGATTCAGCTATTTACTTTTTCCAGTACCAGTTGCTTCCACGCTGTTCTACCAGACCTTATTTCTGATATTCGCTGGCCCTGTTTCCCCTAGCACCTACCCTCCATCTCCAGGGCCACAACAGGAGGGCCTGCCTTTTCAGGCTGATGAGTCAGTGGGGCTCCATAAGCACTCAGTTGGCCAGCTTTGCTTTCTAGGAGGAAGCTAGCTAAAGTAAGGGCGTGGGTCTTTAATTGTGTGCAGTCTAAAATCCTGTCCAGATCAAATTCTGAGTACAACTGATGTTATGCAGAAAGGTTTGTTTCATTGATTCCAAATACTATACAGAGCTTCGCAGTCAAGCTTATTAGCTCAAAACCCAATACTGTAGCATACTGTGTGACCCTATTTATATAAAACTAAAGAGAATGCAGACTAATCTACAGTGACAGAAAGCAGATCAGTGGCTACTAGAGGATGGTAGGAGGCATGAGGAAACTTTTGGGAGTAAAGGTATGTTCACTATCTTGATTGTGTTCATGGTTTCATGGGTGTATCCTATGTCAAAGCTTATCAACTACAGAACTGAAATCCGTGCCGCTTATTCTATGTCAATGATACTGCCAATACAGGTTTCTTTTTCTCGAAGACCAAATTCTGCACTCACTGGGTTACCAATCAGTCTAGTTGGGCGGCTGTTGAGAAAGAATACATACAGCACGTTTCTGTTTAACATGCTCAGGGACCCATGGAAGCTATATGGAAGGATAAAATGTAGCATGAGGAGTTTTAGGGTGAACTAAAATAAAAGATGCCGAAAGAGCCGCTCCCCCGAAATATGAAGGGCCCGTGGCATCAAGGGCAGGGCCCGCCGTCTAAACTCCATCTGCAGCTGTCTCCCAGGTAAGGGCTGAGACTCGCTCACGTTGTCTAGCCATCATTTCAGAGCTCTGAGGCAGTGAAAGGAAGGAGAAACAAACACTGATTAAATTTTAAAAATTTATTGTTTTCTTTTCTTTCCTTTTTTTTTTTTTTGTTGTTGCTGTTGATTTGTTCTTGAGATGGCTACAACACCAGACAGAACAGTGCCCTCAAATCTAATGCCTGTGCAGGGCTGCAACTCCATTAAAACAGTACGATCTGGTTTGGGCTTCCCTCTCCCCCCTCACTCCCCCAACGAAGTCAAATAATTTCCACATTTTTTTTTAGTAAAATACAGTTAGCCCTGTAAACACTTTCCCCCATAATCCCACCCTCTTTTTTGTCTTCTCTCATGTCTGTGGGTGAAAAATTAACTAAAAAACACAAAAATCTTTTAAAAAAACCCTAAAACTCAGAATATACATTTATATCCCACTCACCCTAATTTTGGCTCTTCTCTCCAAGGCTGATGATAACCCAACGTGGATTGGAAATGGACTGAGAGACTGGATAGGGTCAGGGCTGGGAATATATATATGAATTTTGGCCCTGGCAGGTCCCATTATCACTGATGTGACCATGATATAAAACGAACAGGTTCCTCCTTGTCAGAACAACTCTAGAGGTGGGAAGAAATGTTGGGACAGTGGGAGAAATTTCTACTCATTTTTGTGAAAAGAGGAGGGGAAAGGGAAGAAGGGAGGGTGGGAGAGAAAAAGAGGAAAAAATAACAGAAAACCTTAAGAGATGATCCTGACCCTTTTCTTCCAATTGCAGCTATTTCATCTGAATTCCCATTTTCCCTAAGTAAACGGTTTCTGTTTCACAAAAATTTGTACTTTTATTTTGTGTGCACATGCATGTTAGCATGTGTGTGTACGTGTGTGTGTGTGTGTGTGTGTGTGTGTGCGTGCGTGTCACTGCTACCAAGTGAATGTTTCAGTTCTGGTTTTAGTTTAGTTTTCCTTTTTTTCCTTTTATTTCTTTAAAATTATTTTTCCTTTGAAACAAGTTCACCAGGAAACCAGCTCCCCTCCCACCACGCCGGACAGGCCGCAGCCATCTCTTTTTTAAACCGCGCTGATTTTCCCTCACACCCCCAAACAGGAACTCCTCAGGATGGCCTCGGAAGGCTGGAGTCTCTCCCTGTCTGGCGGGACGCTGTGGTGGCGGTGAAGGCCCCTCTGCCACAGTGGAGGTTTCTGATTGTGGGACACAGTCTGGTTTTTGTTTTCTTCCTGTCTTCTAATTAAAAAAGACATTCCTGACAAAAGAGAGAAGACAGTCAATAACTATGCTTCAGAAGATAGTAAACTTCAAAGTCAAGGTAGAAGTTTTCCTATTTGCTCAGGTACCTTATTCAGGCCTCTGCTGTAAGAACTCAGCAAAAAAAAAAAAAAAGTTGGAGTATTTACTTGTGAATCAAGAGCGCTACGGCTCTAATGATATTGTCTGAAGTCCTTCTCTGGGTGTGCTGTGAAACTAGGGTAATATGTTGGGGGTTAAGAGTATGCCAGCAGGTCTGGGCTGCCCACCCCAAACCAACCAGAAAATCTCTATTTTAGTCCATTTAAATTCTGGGGTTTCAGGCAAGTTTTCTGAAGGAAGACTTTGCCTATCATCTAAAGTTTAAAAATCACTGATTTAGTCTGTATGAAAGGGTACTACGTGAAAGCATGAAGTAGAGTAGTTAAAAGGACCGACTCTGGCACCAGAATACCTGGTGTGTGAATTGTGGCCTATCAATTACTGACTGTACATCAAGCAAATCGTTTAACATCCTGAAACCTCTATTCCCCTATACAGTGGAACTAATAATGGTAATAATCCAGAGAACCACCTGAGGATTATCTTAGTTAATACAGGCAAGTACTTAGAACAGTACCTGACACAGTTAGGGCTCCATAAATGTTAGCTATGAGCATCCATAGCTGTCCACCAATAAGCCTATGTGTACCAATGATACCTATTACCGATGCTGCAAAATTCAAGAATCCCAAATGGTATCACTACTCACTAAAGAAGAAAATTTAGAAATAATTTCTGGTGTGAGTGACGCACTGCTGAAGAGGGGCCTTCATCCACTAACACATTAAATGACAGAAGCTACCAGTGAGGAGCTACACATTGAGAACTGCCTCGTGGGAGAATAAATTCCGCCTAAGACCTCTAAAGGGGGTGCGGGTGCTTAAGAAAGCTGCCTTTCTTCTCTCAGTCAAGAAACTGGCACCCACATCCTACTACCCAGTTCTTCCTGTCCTCAGCTAAGATTCCTGCTTTGCTGCAGAACCAGGAGTCAGGAAGCACATGGAGAAAAACTGGTGATCAGGAGCCTTTCCTCTACCTCCTGCCTTGGGCAGAACCTGGCATTTCAGTGTTCTGATAGCAAAAGTGTTCAGAATAATCATCTTTGCTCATTAAATCTAAAAGGTCAGTTTTAGAATGGTGTTACTGTAATCACGGTCTGCTTCAGGTCAGCATTGTTTTCGCCAAAGTAGCCAGGTTAAAAAATACTTGTTTACTAACATACACACTTACCATCCTAAAGTGTAAGTAAGGGGATACGAGGAGGAATTTTTTTTTTTGAGATCTCCTACAATAATAACTTTTCCATGGGGGTGAAGATGGTATCCAGACGCAGCTAACAATCATCTGGCTGCCTGGGCACAAGCAAACCAGGGTCCTGCATTTCTTAATCTGAACAGCACTTTAACTGTTAAGTCTTTCCCAAACTAGCTATAGTACAAGTCCCATGACGAGCATTAAAACCTATGTCATCCCCAAGCGCTCCGAACAGCCAGGGAAAAAGCCGGGACTGTAACCACTCACCTGGGTGACAGGCACAGTGCAGGAGTGTGAGCTATCGAAACAACCTGGTGAAGTCTCTCAAGGCCCAGCAAACTTGTTTACATTCCTCAGCACTAGAAAAAAAAAGGTAGGTTGGCCCCTGATGAGAAAGATACAATATGGTGAAAACACCACAACACTGAGGTCCACTGAGAATTATCCTAGCTCTGCTTGAAGCTCTCTCCATTGTCTCGACTGTTTCTGATCTTTCTGTAACTAAAAGGCAAATATTAACTATTGCATGTGAGAATAATTATAAGCTGATGGTCTCTAAAAAGAGTAGCTATGGAGAAAAGCTGCTTGGGTTTGAATCTTGGCTCTACCACTCTTGGGCAAGTTACCAACCTGCTTTTGTTGCCGCATCTGTTTACCTACCTTACAGTGTTTGGAAGAGTAAGTCAGTTCAACACTTCATTGGGAGTCCCTGACACAAACACAAGAAAGCCAGAAGGCCCAAATAAAAAAAGCAAGCATATTCTACCTAAGGCTGATAACTTTAACTCTATGAGCTGAGCTAACTTAGGTACCCTGGTTCCTCATTCTCTTCCAAAGGCAGATTTTGTTGACCAACCCCATTTCGGCAACTAAGTCTCTATCCGTCATTGATATTCTTCGTTCTTTTGTGTCAGTCTTCAGAGCAGGTTTTGGTAACTGAACATGAAGCTAAGCTAAAAACAGTAGAAGAGGAAGAACTTCCGAATGTGCCCATTCTTCTGTGGCCCTCTCTCTGGCTCAGAAAAATTCAGGGACCAGAGCCTATTACCTAAGATTCAATGTTAGAAGAAAGAGCCTTCTCCTTCTCATAATGTTAAACACCAGGGGAGGAACTGCCAACACTGGTTCCACAGAAAAGTAGGTGAAAGGAGAGCTCTCTCCTTAGTGCCTACATCTAGATTCCCCTACCTATTACAAGGTCTGGAAAAATCATTAAGAACCTTGAATCAGACCCCAGGATTTGATTCAACAGAGTATCCCAGAAACTTTCTCCAGTCTCTCTCCATCCTAAAAATGTAATAAAAATGATAAAGTCTTCTGGTTTTATTGAAATTCTGCCATTTCTGAATTTAACATGCTTCAATACAACCAATACCTTCCCTCGGTCTATTTCCAAATCAATACTGACTATTAAGGAGGCAGTTGGGGGGGCGAGCACAGATCACTCATGCTTCCAATGTCACAAAGGAAGAAGATATATTATCCAAGAGAAGCCACCATGTGGCATGTTATCATAAGGAACTACAACAGTAAGAAACAGTTAAACGTGAGGTAACAATGAAGACTTAAGATTCTACCCATGGTTTAATCCAAAGAGAAATGATAACTCCCTTCTTCACCTCTCTTGTGACACAGGAGAAAAAGTGCTGAAATCAGAATGCAGGTAGAGAGAACTGTGCGAGCCAGGGTGAAAGAGCGGTAGGCTGGCATCCTGAGTCAGCTCAGCTCTGTTCCAGTCCTGTCGGCAACTGCTCTGGTGTCCAGAGCCTCAGCCAAATGATTAATGTGTCCTTGACTAGGCCCAAAGAAATGGATTTAAAAAAACCCAAAAACCAAACTTATAAGCTACAACTATTTTCTGTTTTCCGCCTCAGTCCTTCTGGCATTTATTTCCCATTTCATCTCACTGTATTCGCTGGGGAGCATGGGTGGCTCAGTTGGTTGGGCGTCTCTGCCTTTGGCTCAGGTCATGAATCCAGAGTCCTGGGATGGAGCCCCACATCGGGATCCCTGCTCAGCAGGGAGTCTGTTTCTCGCTCTCTCCCCTGCTCACACTCTATCTCTTGCAATCTCTCTCAAATAAATAAAATCTTAAAAAAAAAAAAAAAAGTTCTAAAAAAAAAAAAAAAGAAAAAGAAAATGGCCACTATTTTTCTAGATTCTATTTTCTGGCTTCTAGTCCCACAACCCCGATCCTTTTGCCATACTTTTGAATACATTTATGGTGATCATCTCGAGCCTCATAATCCTAGTGGTATGCTGAGAAATACAGCCCTTCTCACCTCATGTTCATGGATAATGCAGAATAACCAAGCTCTAACTAACGACATGAGCAAGAAGACACCCCATCCTGGCCTCTAACTCTAGAGTCAGTGCTTCCTTTACTCAACATCTTCTGACCTTGAGATTCTCATGCCGGTGTTAAGAATCCGAGAATAAACATCAACAAAGAGAAATAGGAAATGATGGCAGGATTTCTTCTAGTCATAATTAGTAGTGTTTGGAGAGCAAGAATGATGTTTCAGAATGAAAAACCTCAGCTTTCTTCAAGTTGACCAACGAAAAATGTTAGGGAATTAATTACCAGCACCATTTGAAAAACAGGCTTGGACTTGCTGAAATGAAACTGAACCAGTTTGCCCTCCCTGTTAGAATGGCAAACAAAGCAGCACGTTGAGACAGGAATTACAGGACCTTACAACCAAAAGGGAGACTGAGTCATGCATGGAACAGAGGGTTCAAGAGCAAAACTCGTACTAGAGAAAGAGAATTACTACAAGGAGGTGAGCAATCTCAAAGCTTTTCTCTAGTACCTCGACATTACCTCTTCTGTTCATTTCCCAGCACCGTGTCATCACAGCCTACTACAGGAGGAGCTGCAAAACTTGTTCCACAGTGGGAGATCAAGGAGGCCAGGCTGCCGGTGCACCTTATTTCCCAATATCACAGGGCAAAGATCACAGGTATTTTTGTTTGTAGCCTTGCGTTATTTACGTTCCTTTCTGTGCCACTTAATTTTCCTTAAATGGGGGAATATCCATGACTTTTCAGACTTATTCTACAGTTCTACCTATCATAGACTAGTTCAGATAAGGGAATACAGGTTTGGTGGATACTTATTCTAGAATGTGTGGGTGGTTGCCTTAGAGCTGGCAGGAGACATGCTCCAGCTAGCTTTGCAAATGCATTAACAACATTCCAGCAGGTTCTTTTCCAAGGAGAAAGTTAACATTCACTGATCACCTACTACATACCAAATCTTTAGATTTCCACTTGATATCTCATAATAACCCCTTATGAGTAAGAGAGGTAGTACTAACCCTATTTTACAGATGAATAGGCCAAGGTTCAGCAAGTAGCAAGATTCATGCCAGTATCCCTGACACTAAACCTAGTTCTCTGAGGCTTCTCTCCAGGCTTCCATTTGCTTTAAGGAAATTACAGCCAATATGATCCTGCCCAATACTAGATGGAAAAGAACAAAACAGAAGCAGAAAGAAGCTACTACACTCTTTTCCCTGAGACTGCTTAGAGGTGGAATACTACTACTGGGAAGAGTCACCGTAAAAAAAAGTAAAACAATTTTGTGAAGTCATCCCAGTCAATATACACCTACCTAGAGAAGGGGAAATTCCCTTCTAGCAAAATATATCATGAAAGTAGTCACATGCCATTTTTTTGGTCATGCATGTCACTTGATCTATGGCCAAAAATCAGTTACTTCTGGGACATGAAGTTAAGCCACTTTTAGTAAGCTACAAAATGACAGCACTCATAGGTTTGGAATTTTAACAAATTCTTTAGCAAAATTATTGAAGAGACTCTGGGAGATGAGAAAATAAGCCATTTTGGAAAGTAAGATTAAGAAATTAAGTCTCAGAAAAGATGATCAGTTATTGAACCACCACCTACAATTTATCCCCCCCTTTTGCCCTTTTATTTTTTTAAAGATTTTATTTATTTGAGAGAGATGGCATGTGCGAGAGAGAAAAAGAGAAAGAGCACACACGTGCACAACCAGGGGGAGGGGCCGAGGACAAGGGACAAGCAGTCTCCCCACTGAGCATGAAGCTGAGGAGACTGAGAGATCATGACCTGAGCTGAAGTCAGATGCTTAATGGACTGAGCCACTCAGGCATCTCTCTCCTCTTTTTAAAAACTAGGTCTGGTTTTAATTATAAATGTGTACCACATGCTTAGAAAAAAATGAAAATATTATAGAAAGTTATGAAATAAAACTGAAAGTCCCATCCTGGTCCCAGTTGTCTTCAGAAATTTACTATGCATATATATAACATATATAATAAAACAGCTTTTATTTATTTATTTTTATAACAAGTGCTCTCCATTTTTTTTTTTTTTAAAGATTGTACTTATTTATTTGACAGACAGAGATCACAAGTAGGCAGAGAGGCAAGCAGAGAGAGAGGAGGAAGCAGGCTCCCTGCTGAGCAGAGAGCCCGATGCGGGGCTCGATCCCAGGACCCTGGAATCATGACCTGAGCCGAAGGCAGAAGCTTTAACCCACTGAGCCACCCAGGCACCCCATAAAACAGCTTTTAAAAGTGCAAGCTGGTTTATTTACAACAGCATCAAAAAGAATGTAACATTTAAACTACAAAATGTTGCTGAAAGAAATTAAAGACACCAAAAAAAAAAAAAAAAAAAAAAAAAAAGACCTCTCCTGTTCATGGACTGGAAGACTTAATTTTGTTAGGACATCAATACTACTCAAAGTGATCTATAGATTCAATGTAATTGTTTTCAAAAATCCTGACATTTTTTTTGTGAAAATAGGAAAATATATCCTAAAATTCATATGGAATCTCAAAAGACCCCAAATAACCTTAGACAAGGAACAAAGATGGGGGTCTCACATTTCCCAATTTCAAAATTATTACAAAGCCATAGTAATCAAAACAGTATGGTACCGACATAAAGACAGACATGGAGATCAATGGAATAGAACAAAGGGCCCCAAAATAAATCCCTCACATATATGGTAAAATGATTTTTTTTAAAAAGATTTTATTTATTTATTTGACAGAGAGAGAGAAAGAGAGAGAGAGAGAGGTCACAAGTAAGCAGAGAGGCAGGCAGAGCAAGAGGGGGAAGCAGGCTCCCAGCTAAGCAGAGAGCCTGATGCAGGCCTCGATCATAGGACCCCGAGATCATGACCTGAGCCGAAGGCAGAGGCCTAACCCACTGAGCCACCCAGGGGCCCAGTAAAATGATTTTTAATAAGGGTACCAAGACCATTCAGTGGGGAAAAGAACACTACTGGGAATTCTTTTTAATCCAAAGGAACTGAAAACAAGGTCCTTTTTTTTTAAAGGTGGGGAGGGGCAGAGAGGAGAGAATCTTAAGGAGGCTCCATGCCTAGCAGAGCCAGCCCAACGCCGGGCTTGATCTCACAACCCTGAGATCATGACCTGAGTAGAAATCAAACATTGGGACACCTGACTGAGCCACATAGGCACCCTAAATGCAGGGTCCTGAAGAGATATTTGTATACCCATGTTCACAGCAGCATTACTTACAACAGTCAAGAGGTAGAAGCAATCCAAATGTCCACCAATAGATGAATGAATAAATAAAATATGGTACATAAAGTGGAATGTTATTCAGCCTTAAAAAGGAAAAGAAATTCTGACACACGCAACAGCATAGATGAACCTTGAGAACATTACAGAGAGTCACAAAAGGATAAACACCGTATGATTTCACTCATAAACAGAAAGTAGAGTATGACTGGTGGGGAATGGGAGAAGGGGGAGTTGCTGTTGTATGGGTATAATTTTAGTTTTATAAGATGAAAAAAATTCTGGAAATTGCACAACAGTGTGAATATACTTAACACTACTGAAGAGTATACTTGAGAATAGTTAAAATGATAAATTCTATGTGTATTTTATCACAATAAGAAAGTTAAAAAAATTATCAGGACAAGTTGGGTTATATGATACTGTTATTTTTTCCATTTATAATATACCTTACATATATTTCTGTATCATGACACTTATATTCTTGCTCCTTCTCTTCCAGTGCCTAATCATTTAGTTATACTCTGTTAATCATTTAATCATTTTCTATTAATGAGCAATTAGAGTATTTCCAGTGTTTTTCACTATTACCAAACCTTACTCAACATTCATTCTTGGACCTGTAAGTCATTCCACTACTATATGAATATAAGCCAATGCCTAAAATTTAGGCAAAATTCTAGAGATTCTAGATATATATAAAGGTGTATGAGGGCAAGGTAGCACACAGTTACAAAACACACTTTAACTTGCTACCATTAACACTTAATAGCCATAAAAATCCCATAACCTTTGAGTCAGTGATTGCATTTTAAGGGAAATAGTCAAAAGAAGGAAAAGGCTAGAGTTTTAATATTACCCATAATACTAAAAAAATAACTGAAATGTCTACTAATAGAGGCACTGTATGGAAATTAAGCAACACCTTTTTGGCTATAAAGCAGTAATTAGGAAGACTATGTAGCTACACTTAAAATGGTAACTACATTCACAATAAAAAATATACTAATGTATACTTAACACTTTAACTAAGCTGTAAATAAGCAGCTCATGGACTCAATGCATCTCAGAGAGATATTTTGTTTGGCCTGCAAGAAATTAAACTTCAGTATCTTTAGGCACAGTGAAAATTTTCCAATTCACTGAAGTTTACATCATCTATGTTTTACAACTAATGCTTCACCTATTCACATCTGCGTGCCTGATCCCTGACTTCAGAAAGATAAAGACAGATGCCGCGAGGGGTAGCGGGCTGATGAATGCATTTTTCTTTTGGAAGAAATAATGCTTCCACTTACCCATTAAGACCTTATACCAGTTAATAAATTTGCACAGTAAAACTGATGTACACCTAAACAACATGGTGGTATTTCCCCTCAGATTGGTTTCTAATGTCAATTTGTGCAATTCAATGCTAAACAGACAAACTGTGAATTAATGAAGGCACACAAGAAACATACTCCTGGGTAAATCTGGTATAAGAAACAAAGATATATTTTTTCTGCACACTCATTTCTGTTTATATTTAAAAAAAGCAACAAAACCAGAAAAGTCCCCCATCACTCACCTAGTGACTTGTTTGTGGAAATCTGTAAGTTGTTTGTGTGTCACTGTGACTGCTCCCACGGTTGTCTCCTTTGGCAAACCTTTCAAGGAGTTCTCTAACCATCGACAGAAAGTCTGTGCAAAGAGACAGTAAGAGTTTTGAGAGGAGGCAGGACTTACTCAACTGGACCCTACAAGTAATAACAAAACCTGCAGGCTTTTCTTAGCACCATCAGCTCTTCCAGACTTGGAAGTGAGTAAAAGAATTAACAAAAGCACTTCTATCTTTAGGCCTTCCAACCCTCTGGGGTTTGGAACAGTCTACAAAGGTAAACCTAGACTTCCCATCAAAGGTGTGGCAGGCATCATTTCAGCAAGCCCTTCTCTACCTTAGAAGTGAAGTGTCTTCTGGATGAGACTATTGCTCTGTTTCTGTCATTAAACTTCTGTAATACTTCAAAAATTAAACAGCTGCCAGAAAACTCTAGAGTGTACAGATCACAGGCAACCTACAGCAAAGGTTCAGTACCACAAAGAGTAAGAACAAAAGGTATAGTTAAGTAAACTTGTCAAAGAACATATATATAGTATGAATCGAGGGTCAAAGGATTTTAAGGTCAACTCTCAGTAGAATATTCATATCCAGTCAGCTCCTTTGTGATGCCTGCCTGTTCTCTGGGTCAGAAAATCTTGTTGCTCACTCTGGTTTGCTATTTAATAAAATACTAATGGGGCGCCTGGGTGGCTCAGTGGGTTCAGCTGCTGCCTTTGGCTGGGGTCATGATCTCACGGTCCTGGGACCAAGCCCCACATTGGGCTCTCTGCTCACTGTTTCTCTCTCTTATGCTCCCTCTGTACTCTCCCACTCTCTTTCAAAAAACTAAATTTTAAAAATCTTAAAAATAAATAAATAAAAGAATACTATTGGGGCGCCTGGATGGCTCAGTGGGTTGAGCATCCCACTCTTGGTTTCGGTTCAGTTCATGATCTGATGGGTTGAGGGATCCAATGCTCAACAGGGTGTCTGCTTGGGATTCTCTTTTTCTCTCTGCCCCTCCCCCGACTTGCATACTCTCTCAAATAAATCCTTTTTAAAAATGTTGTAAAAGAATATTATTTATATCTAAGCATAATCTCTTTATGCCTTTTAAATGCACAAAAACTGTCTACCCATCCTTCCCCCCTTCCTTCCTCTTCAAACTAAAAATCAAATCTAGAGACTTCCTCTGGGTTACTTTCAGTTGAACCCTTCTTTGAGCTAGCTCTAATTTTCCATGCCTTTCTTAAGTAGGGTGTACACTTTGGTTGTAGTTTTCAGCAATAAAATAACCTTTACAACTAAATTGTTTTATATTATATATCCCGTTATGTTAATTTATGGTAACAAACCAGAGCAAAAGTAAATATTACATTATAAATGCTTAGGAAGTACTGCATAATTCTCCAAATGTTGCCCCCCAAGGAAGACAACACTCTACTAAGACAAACACGGAAGGGCAAGAGATTCAGGAAGAACCCTTACTTGATACAAGTTTTGGCATCCAAAATAGCCTGTGAGTTAACTACAATGTAGCCCCAAACAAGAACATTAAGAAATGAAACTAAAAAGCAAAATTAATCAGCTAGCACACAAAGGAATCTCAGAAATCTGGTTGAAAACATGAATAAATTTGCCACAGATGGGTATCCAACAAAGAAGTAAGGGTTTATTTATTTTTTTAAAAGATTTTATTTATTTGACAGAGATCACAAGTAGGCAGAGAGCCAGGCAGAGAGAGGAGGAAGCAGGCTCCCCGCTGAGCAGAGAGCCTGATGCAGGGCTTGATCCCAGGTCCCTGGGATCATGACGCACGAGCCAAAGGCAGAGGCTTTAACCCACTGAGCCACCCAGGCGCCCCAGAAGTAAGGGTTTAAATAGTATATTCGAGTCATGTGACAAAGCTGATATGCCATCTTCTATTGAAAAAATCTCTGTGTTCACTTTTGAAAATGGCATGATTAAGAAAGTGCTCAAGAATGAAAATTTTCTTTCAGCCTTCTATCCCTAGAATTTCAGTCAGTTTACAGGGTATGGACAACCCGTATTTATATAAAAGTTCCTCTACAAAAGTTCGGTTGTAAGCTAATGTTCATAGAAAACAATCACTTTAAAACTGCTTGACACCCATTCTGTGGGTATCTATCTATATAGTAAACACTTAAAAGCCCATGGCTACCTGGTTTCTGTTCCTGCCTCAACTTGCTGTTCTAATTTTCTTCCTCTGTTAGCACTTAATCTTATGTTTACAAATTAAGAATATTTTTATTTTTATTTTTTTAAAGTTTTTTTTCTTTTAATCCACTTATTTGAGAAAGAGAGGGAGAGAACAAGCAGGGAGGAAGGTCAGAGGGAGAGAGAAGCAGACACCCCCTGCTGAGCAGGAAGCTCCACATGGGGCTCGATGTCAGCACCCCGAGAATCATGACCTGAGCCAAAGGGAGCTGCTTAACCGACTAAGTCACCCAGGTGCAACAAGAATGTTTTATGAAGTTAAATTTACATAATAAGTTTTCTGCCACCTGGGAACCAAGTATGCTTGTAAAAAAGTAACAGTATAGAAATTTTATTTCTCAGGTCAAGGACTTTTTCTTTTTTTTTTTTTTTTTAAGATTATTTATTTATTTATTTGACAGACAGAGATCACAAGTAGGCAGAAAGGCGGGCAAATAGAGAGATGGGGAAGCAGGCTCCCCTCCGAGCAGAGAGCCTGACATGGGGCTCGATCCCAGGACCCTGGGATCACGACCTGAGCAGAAGGCAGAGGCCTTAACCCACCAGTGCCACCCAGGCACCCCAGGTCAAGGACTTTTGTAATCAAACTTGTTGGCGCTCAGGGGTTCACTGAGTAGTTTCTTTAGAAAAACACAAAATACAGCCATATTAGATTGACACAAGAACACGCTGAACAACTAGGGAACTGCAGGTACTATTCATTCCTGAAGCACTGAGCTTATGTGGAAGAACTGCAGAGCTACCTGATGAAACCCAAGTCACACAGGAGCCTCACGAGTTTGCTATAGAAGAAATAGGCGTGCCTAGTCAACAGTCAGTTAAACGTCCAACTCTTGGTTGGGCTCAGGTCGTGAGACTGAGCCATGTCGGGCTCTGCACTAGGCTCGGAGTCTGAGATTCTCCCTCTTCCTCTGCCCTTCCTATTTGTGCCCCCTCTCTCTCCAATAAATAAATCTTAAAAACAACAACAACAACAATTAAAAGTTCATGCGGCTGTTCTGGAAGATAAACCTAAAGAAAATGTAGAAATTTATCAAGCATCTGCCCTGCACGTGACCACCTTTCATTTCAGCCAAAGATCAAGTAAAAGCATATGCTCACTAAAACAATATAAACTAATCACTGAATTTTGGAGATAACACACAAATCCAAGGAAGAACTTTTGGCTCAGTACATCAGAATCTAACACTAGACGTGTACTCTGCTTTGTGAAACTACTGAAGTTGAGGCTAACAACTGTCATCAATGATACAAAGCAAGAGACAACATTAAGATATATGTGGACTTAAAATTTACAATAAACTTGTGCATCTGGATTTTTCCGTGGTTCTGGAAGATAGCTTACTTTAACTAGAACCAACTGTGCACTTTTCTAAACTGCTTTTGTATTAATATTAAAAACTATAAATCCTATTTAAAAAATAATGTATAAGCTATATATACTTTACCACTATGCTCAAAACTTCCACACAGTACACATAACCTCATTTATGATCATGGCCCAGTACTGAAATTACTCGGACTTTACTGGATAGCCTAAAAAAACCTTCCATGCTCAGGTGATAAATGACCTGGATCAAGAACTGAATCAAGATGCAAATTAATCCAAAGGAGAAATCCAAGTGTATATTGTGAGCTGATTTTCTGCTTCTTTATCCCCAAATGTTCTGGTGAGACTTATTACCAAGGAAAACCATACAATGTTATCTAAGGAGCTTGGAGTGAATTCCCTTCTTGAATAACCTGTACCACTATGTAACTGATATATGGGCATCTCTTACAAATGAACAACAAATTACTCACTGGCCAGCCACACAGCTGAATTCCATGCTTAGTATTCGGTATATAAACCCTATGACAGTAACACCAACATGCTTTTAAAAACCTAATAATGCGGGGCGCCTGGGTGGCTCAGTGGGTTAATCTCTGCCTTGGGCTCAGGTCATGATCTCAGGGTCCTGGGATTGAGCCCCACATCGGGCTCTCTGCTCAGCAGGGAGTTTGCTTCTTCCTCTCTCTCTCTGCCTGCCTCTCTGCCTACTTGTGATCTGTCAAGTAAATAAATAAAATCTTAAAAAAAAAAAAAAAACCTAATAATGCATTACTGGCCTTCTATAGGCCCCTTCATCTAATAATTAAACTTAGCAATATGCCTAGATTAGGTACCATGGAGATGCAACAGAGCTGGTTTCAAAGTTATAGTCTGCCTCCAGGAACCAAAGTTTAAGGACTGTGAGAATGGGTTCTTCATGAAAACAATCTTACCGGTCTGTCAACCTGCATGATCTCCCAGAGGACTTCAGCCACATCAGGTAGGGTATAGGGAGGGAGACAAAAGCAGCATGTGTGGAGCAACTGGCTTACAAGTTGCTGTCCAAGCTGGTTCATCACCTGTCCAATAAGTTCTTTCCGTAATTCAAAGTCTTCTTCATGCTGTAAGGAAACAAGAGCAAAAGATGAATTCTAATTTCAACTCTCCACTCTAATAATTCCTCCTTCCTGGAAAAAGAAGTATATATAATACATAACAGCAAGATTTACAGACTCCACTAAAATGTTGTCCTTAGGAAGATAATATTAAGAGTTTAGTATCAAGGAAATGGGCATGGATTTCAGCTGAGATTAACCTTAACCTTTAGAATAGAGAGCAGAAGAGAAACAATGACTAAAGGTTACAGGTAGCAGTTTTAATTAGAACACATAGAAAAATGTGTTCCTATTTCCTTTTTTAAAACCAAGTGAATAAACAAGAACTTCTATCAGATACCTAATCTTTTGTATAAAACACACACACACACACACAAAACCCTTATTTTCTTCTTGGCACAGAATTACACATTGGCACTTCTTGAATATATACTAGAATATACATATATTTCTAGTATCTTGGAAAAAAATAACTTTTTATAAACTGCTTTTCACATCTAGTTTACTTCTTTCTCCTTTATGACCAAACTTCTTAAATAATTAGCCCATTAACACAGTTGCTTTTTTCTTCACCATTCTCTATTAACCTTAAATAAACTCTATTCCACATTTAGCCAAATCTACCTCTGAAAATTTTGTGGGGCTCCTGGGTGGTTCAGTGGGTTAAGCCTCTGCCTTCTGCTCAGGTCATGATCTCAGGGTCCTGGATGGAGCCCCGCATCGGGCTCTCTGATTAGCAGGGAGCCTGCTTCCCCCCTCCCCCTGCCTGCCTCTCTGCCTACTTGTGATCTCTCTCTGTCAAATAAATAAATAAAAATAAAATAAAATAAATAAAAAAAAAAAAAAAGAAAGAAAACTTTGAGAGTCATTTTACTACTCCAGCCAACTAGGTCTCTTAATTGTCTAACATACTTAGTACTATCCTTTCTCTGACTATGAATTATGCCCCAGTTAAGACTGTCCTTCCCTCTCTAATCCATCCAAATTCTACCTATATCCCATGGGCCCAGTGAAGTCCATCTTCTTCCAGAAATTAATCCCAATCCACTTCTGACCAAGGAGCTTTCTCTGATCTCATAGCAATCATGACTTTTATCACTCATCTGGCAATCAAATACTGCCTTCTTATTGTTACTTAAATCTTTTTATCTCTGTTTATCTCTTCTACTAAATCCTGGATGATAGGGGAGCAGAAATACTTTTAGACTGTTTCATATAGCTTTTAGCACTTAGTAGAGGCTGTCTGAAATCTAATAGTTAATGTTTTGGTTAGTGAATGGTATGTACCTACCAATATAGATCAATTAAGGAGAATCTGGTTTACCCCTAAGAAATGAGGAAGAGATATAAAAAGGTGATAAGGTACAAAGCGGAAAGGTACAGTGTTTATACTTACATCATTGGCTACCCCTGTATGGATAAGGTCTCGCAGGAACCTCATGACACTGCAATTGGCATCCCGGTGGTCCAGGGTAGTAGACGCAATGGCCCACTGCAAGATAGGGATGACCACTTGGCTCCTCAGCAAGGTGACAGGGCTACGCTGAATAAACCTGGTGTTTTGGAAAGACAGGCTAGGTATAAATGAAAGGATTAGGCTCCAAAGCACCAGAGTAAAAGGCAAAACAAAGGATGGAGACAAAAAGATCAGTGGTTGCTAGAGGTGAGAAGGTGAGGGAAGGCTGAACAGGTGGGATACATTGATTTTCAGGGTATTAAAACTATTCCGTGTGATATTATAATGGTAGATACATGCATTATACATCTGTCCAAATCCACAGAAGGTACACCACCAAGAGTGAATCCTAATGTAAACTATGGACTTTGGATGATAATGACATGTTGATACAGGTTCATCAATTCCAACAAACAGACTACTCTGGTGGGGGATGTAAACAGTGAGGGAGGCCGTGGGGTTGTGGGGGGTAGAGCAGGGGTATATAGGAACTCTCTAAACTTTCCACTCAATATCCTACAAGGTTACCAACCCATTAACATACATAGAGACTCTCCACAAAAAAGACACAACATTTTCCAAATTTACTTCATAATGCTTATTTAGCAAAGAGCATCTCAGGGATGTTTTTCAAGTAACACACGCTGGGTAAACAGGGACTGGAGTCCACCCAAGGTTCTCTCGTATCAACAATATCAACAACAAAGGTGTTTCTAACATGTCAAAAAATTAACCAAAACAGCATTCAATATTCAATCCTGAAATTGTTAATATTACTTTGCATTTTTAAGTGATAAAATATATAGTAAGTGTGTATTTACATATAATAATCTATTTTACATAATTTTTAAATGCTTTTATGTTCACTAACTGATTTGGTTCAAATTCCTTAGCTAGGGACTAAAGAAGGAGTTCAAAGGTTTGACAATAATATAGTCAGTGTTACTGGTAAAAGGAAATTTAAGTAAAAACTGGGGTGGAAAGCTAGGGGTAGAACCAGGAAGGGCAGAACAAGATAACTTCTAAGGCACCTTAAAATCCTAAGAATTTTTTACTCTGAGATATGATTATTATCTAAAGGATGCCAAGTTTCCTAAATGAAAAAGCTGAAGTGAAACATGTCATCAGAGCAGCACAGAAACATAAAACTACAGGGGATTCTACAGATTTTCTAATCAAATGTTTTTACCAAGCTGGTTTTAACGGTCTTGCGCATGTTCCCTCCTTAGTGACAGAAACCCAGCCCAGCTGCTTTACCCTGCTCCCATCCAACTCCTCTTTCTCACTTACAGGGATATTCCATTCATGATTTAACTATGGGCTATGAGAATCATTAACCTACCTATACTCCACTAACCTCATTTTATAGAGAAACAATCAAGCGTTACAAGACAAGATGAAGCAGTGATGGGGAAAAGCAACAGAAGAAAGGGTTGCTCTTCAGAAGGACTGACCTGGTGGCCAGCCTGAACAGGTCATCCACAGTGTCGGGGTGATTCTGAAGCCCATTTTGCTGTTCCAGCAGCTGAAAGGTAGGGATGCACAGTGCCTAAAACAGAATAGTGATTTTAAATAAATACTATATACTAAATCCAACAGCATTCAGACTTGCTAAATATCACAACATATACAAAAGGTACAAAACAGGGGAAGTACAGATGGGAAAAGAAAAAAACTATGATGAGAATCAGATCAAGAACAGGAAGAGAGAAATCTTTCTCAACTGATAACAGTTTTCATATATGAAGTCTGCAGTTCAGAAAGGGTTGAGGGTATAAATTTTAGTTGATGAAACTGGACAGATGTTATCTCAAAGTTTCAGAAGTTTCTGCAGGGGCTTTGGTGGCTCAGTTAAGCGTCCAACTCTTGATTTTGGCTCACGTCATGATCTCAGGGTCATGAGAGTGAGCCCTTTGTCAGGCTCCACGCTAGGTGTGGCGCTGAATTCAGATTCTTTCTCTTCGTCTTCCCATGCTCACTACCCCCTTACCCCACCTTGTTCTCTATCTCTCTCTTTCTCACAAAAGTTGTAGAAGTTTCTGAAAGTAAAGACTGCTTGTGTACTAGATATGGTCAAGTCCACTAAAGGAGTAGATGAAGGATTTTTTTTGAGATTTTAAAATAACAGTATGTTGATTTTATTTTATTTCTGAGAGCGTGAGAAGGGGCAAAGGGAAGAGAATCTTAATCAGACTCCATGCCCAGTGTGGGGCCTGATGTGGGACTCGATCTCACAATCCTGAGATCATGACCTGAGCCCAAATGAAGAGTCGGACACTTAACTGAGTGAGCCACTCAGGTGCCCCATGAAATGTCAGTTTTAAAGGGTAAGACATCTTATGAAAAGGAGCATGATAAACTCCCTAATATATTTTCTTCCTTATGACTAGGAGGGGAAAAAAGCAGTATATCAAGAGCCTTTTCCAATGCCTGCTATTTACCCTAAGACCAACCCTGCTAATAAGTGAGCTAGTACACTGGTTATTCCAGACAAGAAACTAAAAAAGAATTATCCTTGAGTTTAGAGATCCTTTGTTTTATATCCATTTGTTCCCTTCTCCACTTCTCAAAAAACCATCATCTCTAGAGAGCATACATTTGGCAGTAATAGCTGTAATGATCTTTACAGTCATATGGTCAATCTCTCTTGCATACTCCCAGGCATGTCTGTCCAGGGAACAACTGGCAAGTTTCTACCTCCCTGTTATTAGTAAATCAACATGCCTGGAGGACAAACATAGAGAAGAGAATTCAAGACATGGTGAATAACAAACTGCTCAGGCCTTTAGTCCCTCCAAGACACTCCCCAGGGAAAACAAACCTGGAGCATGTCTAGGAGTCCCTGCCGACAGCCCTCCTCCATGCCATATTCATCCACAAGGATACTGCCAAGGTACAGGAAACAGGAATGCTGATGTACGTGGTACACATTCACCATCTGCCAAGGGAGAAACCAGTTGTTCAATTCTTTACCCCCCCAAAAGTTATCAACTTAGGAAACTGTCTAGAGGAAGAAATTCAGACTGATTTCTTCTCTTTAAGACAACATAGTAAAGCTTGTTGGCAACATTTTTTGAAACACAGGGCTCAATTCTTCAGTAATTTTCAAGTACTCTCTTTAGAGTCGAGTCCTTTCAAGCCTTTGATCTTTTACCTTCCCAAAACAATGCTGTAAAAGCTACATAATACTTCAAGCTGGAAGCCATGAGTTTGCTATCATCCAAGCTATTTGCAGATTCCTAGCATAAATCCCAATACCTAAAGGTTGTTCTTATTTGCATTCAAGATTAACTCTTAAAAAAAAAAAAAAAAAGGCACATAAAGCTACAGCAGGGCTAAAAATACCAAATACTCTTATCCTGAAAGAGGCCATGAAAGCACTGTTTGAATTCTGAGATGTTTCTAAACTCCTCTAGTTAAACGTTTTAGTAAAAAAACAGTGTCTCTTATCAAGATACCCAGATCTACTCATGGAATAAAAATGTTAATACACATATTTGAATTAAATGATTTCTTTAGGATTTTTTCCCTATTCTCCTCCAAAATGTGTACATTCATCTACTTAAAAATGCCATCACAACACACATATGTTTTTTTAATGCAGGGCTTGAACTCATGACCCTGAGAGTAAGACCTGAGCTGAAATCAAGAGTTGGATGCTTAACTGAGTGTACTGGTTTTATTATATAAATTCAACTTAATGAGTGTGGGTGGGGGCTGAAAGACAAAGTGACTGACTCTTATTACTAACACCTACCATGGAATGGGCATGTGATGAGAGCTATGAATCTATTCGGTGTTGTACACTCAAAACTATATGCTCTAATTAATGCATGATTTAAGTCAGGAGCTGGTAAACATTTTCTTAAAGGGCCAGATAGTAAAAATTTTAGGCTTTGCTGGTCATATGATTTAGCTATTCAACTTTGCCACCATAGCACAAATGACCAATACAAAATATATACATGAATAAGCATGGCAAACTTTTAGTAAAACTACATTTACAAAACCAGGTAATAGGCCCACTGGTTCTAATTTGCTGACTTCTGATTTGTGGATTTTAATAAATACTTATCATTTTTTCACATTTACTGACTTTAGAACACATTTCCTATACAAGGTACTCAATTGGGTTGGTCACTACTTAATTAGCAGGATTAAAAAAAAATTAAAGTCATGAGTGTATCCTCTAATAGCAAAGGGACATTAAATCAAATTATGTTAGACCTAGAATATATTACACTGAAGGGGACACATAACCAAAGGTGTAAACATATGCAGTACAAACATATGGTGTCCTCAGGGTACAGAAAAGGTAAATTTTATTCAAATCTGTAATATAAAGGATACAGGGCTGTGCATACGTCAACTGATACCGCATTAGCATGACTCTACTTGGGGGTGCGTGCTTCCCTAAGAATGAGGCGCCCAGGACAGAGAGGCAGGACAGGGTCACACCTCTGGGGACAGTCATCACCAACTTTGCTCTCCATCCTCAGGAGCGGAATTGTAAATAAATGCTGGCCTCTGCCCGCTGCTGTCTGTCCTCACCCTGGCTGTTCTGGTCTCTCTGACCACTCTGCACAGAGTGAGCCCAAGTTCTGCTTCACACACAGCTGCTGCTCTCCCCTGCTTGCCCCACTGGCCCGGCTACCCTGCCTCCCACAAGCCACCAAGGAACCGATGCCTTCAAGACCAGCCTCCGTTTGATCCTTCTCAGAGGCAGAGTTGCCAGGAAGAAGCTAAACCTGGCAAGAATAAAGGTGTCATAAAAAGATGCGCCTGATCCATAAAGAGATTCTGATCCAAACCCTATATACTATATAAATGGACACTGTTCCTAATCAGAGGGGTGACTTACTTTCATCATCGTTTTTAATTTTTCTTTTTTTAAAATATATTTTTAAAGATTTTTATTTAATTATTTGATATATATAGAGAGAGAGCAGGAGCAGGGGTAGGAGCAGAGGGAGAAGCTGGCTCCCGGCTGACAGGGAGCCCAGTATGGGGCTCATCCCAGGACCCCAAGATCATGACCCAAGCTGAAGGCAGACGTATAATAGACTGAAACACCCAGGTGCTCCTTTAATTTATTTCCTTATGGGTTTATGATTTTGAATTTTTCTTGTTTGAAAGACAGAATTTTGATTACATCAAGCTGAGTTCAGCCTGTAAAAAGGATGTTAAGATGAAGAGAAATATATTATACAAATTCCATTTTAAAAAAAGTGTGTGGGGTGCCTGAGTGGCTCAGTGGGTTAAAGCCTCTGCCTTCAGCTCAGGTCATGATACCAGGGTCCTGGGATGGAGCTCTGCATCAGGCTCTCTGCTCGGCAAGGGGCGTGCCTCCCTTCCTCTCTGCCTACTTGTGATCTCTGTCAAATAAATAAATAAATACATAAATACATACATACATACATAAAATCTTAAAAAAAAGGCGTGGAGAGGGGGTTAACGCTTGGGTGGCTTAGTCGGTTAAGCATATGCCTTCGGCTCACGTCATGATTCCAGGGTCCTGGGATCGAGTCCCAATTGGGCTCCTCGATCAGCAGAGTCTGATCTGTCTGCCATTCTCCACTCTCTCTCTCACAATTCAAAAAAACAAAAACAAAAACAAAAATATGTCTGGCTCAGTCAGTGGGCCATATAACTCTTAATCTCAGGTTCGTGAGCTTGAACCCCACACTGGGTGTAGAAGTTACTTTAAAAAAAAAAAAGAAAAGAAAAAAGAATGAGGTACCTAGGGTGCAGAATTTAAGAGGGCACTCACCGTCAGGGTCAGATCCTTGGAGGGTTTGCCTCCTTAGAATCTGTACCATGGATTCACTGTTCTGGTAGACAAAGGTCATTTCAGGCTTTTGGGTGTGGCCCAGCCTGGAGCTGTGCATTTCCCTCAGTGCATGGAAGCAAAATTTTAATAAAAGGCACTTATGCCAAGTCCTACAAATGCCAAGACTTACATTTTGCCTTGCCTCAATCTAGTTCTGGCTTTGCTGTAAGGTTAACATCAAATTGCTTAGTGATCCAAGTCACTAGTTATAGGCATCTCATATAGAATAGTTCTTGATGTGAGTATGTTCTTAGAGAACCTCATACACTGAGTCACACCATCATAATTATGTATCAATCTTGGTGATTATAAAAGAATCAAATCAAGCATTTCTGTTCAAATAACAGACTTATGTTACCAACTGTGACAGATATAGAAAAAAATTCCCTTGGGCCAAGCAACAGCAAAATTTGACATGACACGTTTTAAAAGAAAAATTAATGTAAAAATGCTCAGCGTTGGTATATGAGAGCTGGGCATTAAAGTCATTCTCTTAATTTTACAGTGAAATGTGTTATTATTTAGACTATCACAAAACAGATTATAGGCAGTTTCCTTCAGAGACAACATACCACAGGCACTATTTATCTCTTTCAAATATTTTGGAGTTTGTATTTAATAAATACAAAAGTGTTTCATTTCATCAGCAAAGTTTTTGTTCTAAAGAATCCTATTTCAGGGATGCCTGGGTGGTTTAGTAAGTTAAATGTCTGCCTTCAGCTCAGGTCATGATCTGAGTCCTGGGATCCAGCCGTGAGTTGGGTGCCCTGCTCAGCGGGGAGTCTGCTTCTCCCTCTTCCTCTCCCCGCTGGTCAGGATCCCCCCATTCCTCTCTACTCCAAATAAATAAAATCTTAAAAAAAAAATAAATAAAGACTCTTACTTCAAATTCTGTACACTTCACATTTTCCCTCAAAGGAAGAACTTACCTGCGTAACTAGTGGCTGCAGCAGGGCTGCAGATCCTTTGCCTACACAGCGAACAGCAAAGCGGAGGCATCTGCAACAACGCTCCACAATCCGATTATCAGCCCGGTGTTTATTTAGAGTCTCAGATAAAACTGGCCATATCTGAATCAAAAGTCAAAGAGCACAAGAAAAAAAACAATGAACAACTAAGAGCTGAAAAAAATGCTCCCAAGTTGGTAACACCTGATTTGGTTTTCAAATAATTTGGAAAAAGCTTTCTTTAGAGAAAAACATGTAGCGTGAACCTGGTGTGCATGAATGCACGCATGCGTGCATACGTGAGTGTGTAGTTTCAATATGCTATCCAATTCTAAAACATAACCACTTCTTAGGAAAAGTACAGTGACAGGGTGCCTGGGTGGCTCATTGGGTTAAAGCCTCTGCCTTCGGCTCAGGTCATGATCTCAGGTCCTGGAATCGAGCCCCGTAACAGGCTCTCTGCTTGGCAGAGAGCCTGCTTCCTCCTCTCTCTCTGCCTGCTTCTCTGCCTACTTGTGATCTCTGTCAGTCAAATAAATAAATAAAATCTTAAAAAAAAAAAAAAAGTGCAGTGACTCTTTAGAACTGGAAGAAGAGCATGTCTAACTTCACTAAAAGATAAACTCTGGAATTCCTGATTTAGGATGAAAATAATTAGTATGATTTATAGAGGAATAGATACTTAAAAACAGTTCTGAGCTGGAATACTCTGAACAAAAGGACATAGCTAATGAAATGGCATTATTTGATACTGTCAAACACTTAAGGTACAGTCTGAAAAGCACTTCTCAAAACATGCCTTTTGATCCTATTACCCTCAGTGAAAAAAGAAGTGTGTTTCCAATGGGAAAACAAAAGCCATGAGGGATAAACAGCTTTGTCAAAAAAAATTTTGCTTGCAATGTCCACAACAGCCAAACTATGGAAAGAACATAGTTGTCCATCAATAGATAAATAGATAAAGATGTGGTGTGTATGGGGCGCCTGGGTGGCTCAGTGGGTTAAAGTCTCTGCCTTCGGCTCAGGTCATGATCCCAGAGTCCTGGGATCGAGCCCCACATCGGGCTCTCTGCTCAGCAAGGAGCCTGCTTCCTCCTCTCTCTCTCTGCCTGCCTCTCTGCCTACTTGTGATCTCTGTCAAATAAATAAATAAAATCTTTAAAAAAAAAAAAAGATGTGGTGTGTATATATACAATGGAATACTATGCAGCCATCAAAAGAAATGAAATCTTGCCATTTCCAATGACGTGGATAGAACTAAGAGGGCATTATGCTGAGTGACATAAGTCAATCAGAGAAAGACAATCATCATATGAGCTCCCTGATATGAGGAATTTGAGAGGCAAGTGGGGAGTTTGAGGGGTAGGGAAGGAAAAACTGAAACAAGATGGGATCGGGAGGGAGACAAACCATAAAAGACTCTTAATCTCACAAACCAAACCAAGGGTTGCCTGGAGAGGGTGGTTGGGTTATATGGACACTGGGGAAGGTATATGCTTGGTGAGTGCTGTGAAGTGTGTAAGCCTGACGATTCACAGACCTGTACCCCTGGGGCAAATAATACATTACATGTTAATAAAAAAAAAGATATGCATAAAAAAAAATTTGCTAGTATTAATCACACCTCCTAGCAACTCCAGGATTCACATAGTTAATCACTCTCTACTTCTCTGGACTTTGAGTGCATTTCCCCACAGGGTGTTTTCTTATCAAATCTGAGGTAAAAAAATATTTATTTGAATGGTTCTATTCTATTCACTGAAATTTAAACTATATCAAGAAACTGAATCTTCCTATGAACCTAGAAGACAATACCTCCGCACTTTAGTTACCCACAGCCTTGTAAGGAAAAAAGGAAGGAAGCCTTGTTCCACAGGCGTCCATTAAGCACTTACTTCCTGTATAACTTTTTGGCACGGATGAGTTTGTCCATTTTCCACAATGGGATTGGTGTGTCTGGGAAAGGCAACAACCAAAAATAGTAAAAGAGCAATTTAAATGAAGAGCCATAGCCCCGAATCCTGCTAGCTTACATAGTAACATTGTCACCACATAAAGAGTATCAAAATAATAAAGTTATTTACAACTCAACACTTTTCCTTCTATTCCAGTCAAACAAACACAAGCACATAATTTAAAACATCCCCCTCAGGGGCGCCTGGGTGGCTCAGTGGGTTGAGCCTCTACCTTGGGCTCAGGTCATGATCTCAGGGTCCTAGGATCCAGTGGCGGGCTCTCTGCTCAGCAGGGGGCCTGCTTCCTCCATCCTCCTCTGCCTGCCTCTCTGCCTACTTGTGATCTCTTTGTCAAATAAATAAATAAAATCTTTAAAAAAAAAAAAATCCCCCTCACCCTTTTTTTGCCACCTTTAAGCCACTTCCACCAGAGCATGAGAACTCAATCTAACTCTGGCTTACATAGGCTGTGCAGCACTCTAATTATTTTTTTCATTCCCCTCTCTTTAAAAACCAGAATATGTAAACTCTTCCAAATTAATAAAAAATATTAATTAAAAACCAGGTTATCTAAATCCACTATAATAAACTAAGTACTGCTCTACTCTCAACATTAAAAAGGCAAAAGTTTCAGGAATTCTACTCTACCCAAGATGTTTCTCATGGTTCTAGTCTGAATCCAATGATATATAATATGGGCCCACTCACAATATATCAAATCCAATTAGTTGCCTTGTTCTAGAATCCACTAATTTGAAAGAAAGCAGAAAAAAAAAATCCTGTATGATTACCTTTTTAAAGGAAATAATTCTTTAATTTCAATAAGCTCAACAGCAATTTAATAAAAATCTCATTTTCTTTTACACAACTACTCTGATAATCCAGTTCCATCTATGGGTCTGACAAATTATAAATTATATAACTCAGTAAGGATTCACTCTTTCAACATTGTCACACAAATGCTTTATTAATCATTAGGCTCCTCTTGATTTCAAAGAAGGATTAATTTCACTCGATCAATAAAAAGTCTTCATTATTTTTTTGCATCCTTATAAGACACAGCAATAGTTCTGAAAGTGTGAGCCTTGGAATAGCAAGCAGCAGCAATAGCAACACCTGGGAACTTACTAGGAATTCTTGGGTCCTACCCAAAATCCAACTGAAATAAACACTGTGGGTCTAGGACCCAGCAATCTGTTTTGATAAGCCCTCTGGGTGGCTGTGGTGCATGTTAAATTTAGTCTGATAATCACCAATCTAGAGACCAAAAAACTTAATTACATATTAGAGGATCTTTTGACAAAGGTCTACCAAGAACATATTCTTAGAATTTGTCTTTGCTCCAAAATTTCAAGTAATGGGCTTATCAGTCTCCTAACAGAAGAGATTATAGGAGGTACCTGGAAGTTTCGTGAAAAACACTTGCTTTCTTTAATACATAATGGTCTTATTTGAGCTGTTAACCCAAGGCAGGCAAGCAGTCTCCCTTCTTACCTAAATATTACTGCAAGGCGATCTAAGAACACAGTGGGATCTGAGGATATACCATTGCTGGGCTCCTGAGACAACAGCTGATGAGACAGAGAGGTATCAACACTGTGTTGTTACACATACATCCCTACAGCAAACACTGCAGATATACACCCTTAAACATCCACCTCCCTCCCAATCTCTGCTTACTTCCTTATAAGAGATTCCCAATAGTTACTCAAATGGTGCAAACTTTTAAATTCATATTGTCAAATTACTTTCCTTCATCTTACTGCATCATGGCTAAGACTACATAATACAACACTTTTACTACATGATCACTGTGGAGTGGAAAACAGTATTATTTAATGTTTTCCCATTTACTTTCATAATGACCAAGACATTATATACATATTACAGTACAGACAACAGGTAACATTATTATATAATCTGTATCTTTGTTTCACTTTCTATTAGGACACTTTTTTCCTTTCTTTTTTTATTACACTTTAAAATAACTAAGGCTTCACAATGTATTTTAAGAGATACAGCAAGTTGCTTCTTACTCTTTCCTAAAATTTCTTAAATGCTCCTACCAGCATATGATTAGAGATAAACTTTAGAATCATTATGTTGAATTCTCCTATTACTGCACTATAAATGTAACTTGAGAAGAGCTGACATCTTTATAATATTCTTGAAGGAAATATGGTAGGTTATGGTTTTGACTCCTAACTTGAATGTTATTTTCCCCATTATATCTTCTAAATTGATTACTGACAGTGAAAATCTACTGATTTTAGAATACTTATTCCTTGTATGCAGCTCCTTTGATAGACTGATTAATTTTAATAACTTTTTAGTTCATTCTCTCGGCTTTTGTAGGTAAAGAATCACTTGTATATTCTGTCTTTTCCTTTCTAACATGTAAACATCATAAGTATGTACTAAACCCCTTTTCTAATCGGACTCACCTTTTTCAATGCCATAACCTGAACAGAACATAGTTCACTAAGGCATTCAGTAATCTTATCCAAAGGTAACCTGGCTAGGACAAGTGCTGTCCCTGTAAGACAAAGAAAAATACAAGTAAAATAAATGCTAAACTGAGGTAATTCACTGGTCTCCATCATTTGACTAACAGAAAAGGTTGGCTGGTTTCATTCTTTTAAAAAGCTCAACACTGCTTTTTTAGTTAAAGTATTTTGTTATTTAGGCTGGTTTCTCTTTATTTGGCTTAGACAACAAAGTGACCTTCACACTAACATTTATAACTGAAGTTAATATTAAATTCTCTCTCCTCAGCATCTATGGGTTTCAAGATGTTTAAATACAACTCCCTTTTAATTCTTCAAATACTTAAGAAAAAAAATCTCCTTTACAAAGCCAACGCCAAAGCTATTTTTATATAGCATAGCATAATCGTTCTCAAACTTCCCAGATGTTTAAGAAGAGCCTTTACTTTTAATAAGTACCATAGGCAATTCTTACCATCAAAGAGGTTTGAGAAATAGACACATTATTATCATTATTTTTTTTTGTAAGAATGGGCTGAAATTGGGGCACCTGGGTGGCTCAGTGGGTTAAGCCTCTGCCTTCGGCTCAGGTCATGATCCCGGGTCCTGGGATGGAGCCCCGCATTGGGCTCTCTGCTCAGCAGGGGGCCTGAGTCCCCCCTCCCCCTCTGCTGCTTCTCTGCCTACTTGTGATCTCTCTCTCTCTCTGTCAAATAAATAAATAAAACCTGCTTTTTTAAAAGGTAGACCCAAAAAAAAAAAAAAAAAAAAAAAAAAAGAATGGGCTGAAATTAGAGATTGGATTCTAGTTATACCATAACAGAATCTATCAGCCAGGTAAGGTATTATCTCTGGGCCTCAGTTTCTTTATCTGTAAAATGAGTGCTTTGAACAGAAGAAAAAGTTAAGTTTGCCTTTCATTTTTTAAATAGTTGCAAAAGCCTCCACCACCTCTTTTTTTTATCCATGACTGGTTTTTTTCATCTTCCATATTTCATTCAACAGAATGGTAATCAATCCGTAAGTATTCAAATATGAATTAAAAAACTAAATGATTTCTCCTGGTAGTCTATAAGCCATGGGTGAGTTAGACTTATTTAAAACTATAGGGGAGAATCTAACTTAAATATGCTTTTTCTTTTTAATTTATTTCTATAGAAAAGAATGTTAATGAAACTCTTTTTTTTTTTTTAAGTTGTATATATGGGGCGCCTGGATGGCTCAGTCAGTTAAGAGGCTGACCCTTGATTTTGGCTCAGGTCATGCTCTCAGGGCTATGGGATGGAGCTCCAGGTCAGGCTTCCCACTCAGTGAACAGTCTGCTTGGAATTCTCTTTCCCTCTCCCTGTTCACGTGCACTCTCGCTCTCTCAAAATACATTTTTTTTTTAAAGATTTTATTTATTTATTCGACACATATAGAGAGAGGTGTGAAAGAGAGAGCACAAGCAGGGGACAGAGGAAAGGGGTGAAGCAGGTTCCCTGCTGAATAGGGAGCCCACTATGGGGTTCAATCCCAGGACCCTGGGATCATGACCCGAGCCAAAGGCAGATGCTTAACCAACTAAGCCACTCAGGCCCCCCATAGTTATATCTTAAAAAAAAAATTTTTTTAAATAAAAAGTTTTCTTTACTGAGAAGGTATCACTGATAAATGAGATGCCATCTAACTACAGGTTAGGTGTCACTTCAGTATCAAGGTTAAATTTCACTAGAAAATTACAAGATGGCAGAAGTAACCACTAGCAGTAGCTCAATAGTAGGAATATTTGACTCCGATTCAATGTCTTATTATCTGTGCCTATGAATGGAAACAATAAAACCCATGCTACAGAAAGAAAATCTGTCTTGGAAAATGCAAATACACTAGCTGGAAAGGAACTTCATCATAGATATAGGAAAGAACAGTTAGTTCCCACACAAGGTCATCCAATCTAGCCAAGACTAACTTGTTTGCTACTCACAGAGGCTTAAATGATGCCACAAAGGTTGTATTACCCAGTCTTTTATTTGATATATCCTCAATCCCCTCTCACTGCCAGCTGTAAAGATTTCACTACCTCACAGGGCACCTCAATCTACTTTCAGAGTTTAGTAAGAAAGTGTTTTCTTTCTAAAAGCCAGTACATGGGGCGCCTGGGTGGCTCAGTGGGTTAAGCCTCTGCCTTCGGCTCAGGTCATGATCTCAGGGTCCTGGGATCGAGTCCCGCATCGGGCTCTCTGCTTGGCAGGGAGCCTGCTTCCTTCTCTCTCTCTCTGCCTGCCTCTCTGCCTACTGGTGATCTCACTCTGTCAAATAAATAAATAAAATCTTAAAAAAAAAAAATCATTAAAAAAAATAAATAAATAAAAGCCAGTACATGTCAACAACTGACTACTACTCATAAATCTATTCCTTCTTTTATAGGATAATCTTTCAAATATTTAAAAATAGCCATCATGCTTAAAGTCTCTTCTTTTTCCTAGCCCTAATATCTCTAGTTCTTCTTTGAACTTCATCACCACTCTCGCTACTTGCCTCTGAATAGGAAATCACTGAGCGTAAAGCTGATTCGTAATGGTTAAAGAATACTAAGACACCAAGTTTCTATGGACAGGACTGATCCACACAAACTACCTTTAAATTTCCACCTACTGCTTTGGTATGGCAATGCTATTTGGGCTCCTTTTTTTATTCTTCCCCCAACTCTAAAAGAACTATATTTAGTTCAAATGTGTCATCACCACCCCAAAATTTAAGTCTGTGCTATACACACTGTAAGCAGGCTGAAGTAGTTATACAGCCTTAAAGTATTTTAAGAAAAGAGTACATGTATATATCAACACCCTCCCCTGAGTGGAACGGTAAACTTTCTCCATCACTAAGTATACTGCAACTGAAAAACTGGGATATGATTAGTATAAGATAACCCCCCAGAAGGGCTTAGAGATGTTCTTGGTTAATATCTGAAGTAAATACCTTTTAGCAAGCCCACAGCAGCTTCTGGAGACAACATGAAGGAATCAAGGGAACGAGCAATCTCCAGGAGTCCATTAAAGTGCTGAGCCATGTGGTCTCGGCAGACAGAGCAAATGTTATGAATGGCTTTGGCTGCAGCAGAAGCCAGAGGCTTTTCACACAGGCCCTTCATCAAATAGCCCAACACAGGGTCTAAGGAGAGATACCACACAGTAGAGATTACAGGTCTAAAACTCAAGGAAAACTTGTAGATCCTTATAACAGAGGTTTATATTCCTGCCCCCACCCCGCCTTTAAGCAAAAGAACCATTTAAAAAAATGAAATGTGTTCAAACCCCAATATATAAAACATAAAAAAGGAGCTGATCTCACTGACATAGTGTCAGGGAGCCCTGAGTCCTATCTATTCACCTTCTATTTCTTTCCTCATGGCTAGTACTTCACACAGCATAGTTTGAAAACCACGGGTGGATAAGGCCATCCATGTATTAAGAATAAGGTAATATAAGAAAGAATATAAAGCTCAGAGAGCTACCATTATTTATACTCAGAGATGAGTCACTATGTAAAAAACAGCCTATGTTAATCAGGACGACAGTTATCTAAGTGGACACTTTTATACTTGCTTCTTTATAGTTAGAAAAGGCCTTAAAAACATGCAGATTGAGCTTTAGTACTTCTGGAAAAACTATGCTTTACTTTTGTAACAAAAATAAGTGTTCCAAAGAAACTGATCATAAAGGTGAATTTCTATAAAGCACATTCTTCTTATCTTTTACCTTACTTTGTAAAAATCAGAATAATTTTCTATGGAAAAATCACATATGATTAAGGAACACTTTGAAAGTACATCAGAATAATCTCATACCAAACCAGAAAAGAAGTAATATAATAATGTCGTAAAGCACATTAAAACGTTATCTCCATTTCCCATCTAATGACCAATATAATGCCCCAATCAGCATGAACCCCTGGTCCCCTCCACAAAAGCAGCCTAAAACTTTTAAGCTTAGGAATCAGAGGAACTAAGTATAGAGTACAGGGAACTATAATGCTGTAAGCTTCTGTGATTCTCAAATGGGATATCCATTGTTTTAACTATTCTAAAGTAAGTACAAATATGGAGCAATTTGTCTTACTGCTGATGCATGTATTTAAATGAGATACTGCATGGTGGTACTGAGTGATAAGGTTTAACAAACAAACCCGCTTTAGTTTCTTGTAGAAGAATCATTCAGAAAAGAAAGTCAAATGTTGAGATAGATTACAGAAGTAAACAATCTAATCATTAGAAAACAGGTATTCTGAAAAAATTTTTCAATGGTATGTTGAACTTGAAAGTGTCTCAGCTATAATGTGAACATGTCTATCATACGCTCTATACACAGAAATAAGAAAAAAGAAACATCACTTTTTAAGCAACAGTTTTAAAACAATAAAAAAGATCATATGTAAAATAAAATCAAGCTAAAAGTGGGTAATAGATGTATAATCCAGTAATTTCACTATTGGGTATTTACTCAAAAGAATACGAAAACACAAATTTAGAAAGATATACACACCCCTATGTTTAATGCAGCATTATTTACAATAGCCAAATTACAGAAGCAACCCAAGTGTCCACTGAAAGACACATGAATAAAGAAGAGGTATAAACACATGTTCACATACATGTGCGTGTGCGTGAACACACACACAGATATCACTCAGTCATAAAAAAGAATGAAATCTTGCCATCTGCAACAACATGGATGGATCTAGAGAGTATAATGCTAAGTGAAGTAAGTCAGAGAAAGAGAAATACCATATGATTTCCAAAACAAAGGAAAAAAAAAACCAGATTCTTAACTATAGATAACAAACTGATGGTTATCAGAGGTGGGGTGGATGGAGGGGATGGGTTAAATAGGTGAAGGGGATTAAGAGTACACTTATCTTGATGAGCACCAAGTAATGCACAGAACTGTTTAATCACTATATTATACACCTGAAACTAATACAGCACTTATGTTAACTATACTGGAATTAAAAAAAAAAAAAAGATGGTAACATAAGCATAGAAATATATCAAACAATATGATAGACACAAGTTTGGCGGGGAGGGTTCTTAAAATTCTTAGAATGTATCAGTCCTGAATATCAGGGAGGCTTAATATATACTACCTTAGATAAATTATTTACTCTCTTTGGATTTATCTGCAAAATGAGAGAGATAAAGAAATGATTTCTTCCCTTACTTTTGATTCTAAAGTTACTTTGTATAATCTTTAGTTATTTTTTTCAAGCCAATAAGGGCATCCAAAGTTGATATAATTCAACATTCTTTTCATTTTAATTTGTACTTATTTTGTCTCAAATGATAATTCTTGGTTTTTAAAAAAGAGTATTTAATGCTGAAGAAAAACCTTTCCTTTGCTTTAGCCTATTAATAGCATCTAAGTTAGAACTATAGGGAGTCTGATTAATTCAAGCATGTGCCAAAGACTAACAGAAAAATTCATCCCAAAGCAGACTACTAGAAGCAAACTGTTTCCCTATCTAGAGATCTAATCTTTAAAGATCCCTCTTCCAAGAGATGACCAGTTTACAAATGTGTCAACTACGCAACAGCTCATAATACAGTATTTACTCTCACTGTCTAGAAACATTCTACCTACCAAGAAAAATAAAGAACAAAAGAACAAGAGTGAAAGTAAGAAAGGAAGAACAAAATCAGAAAAATCACTCTCAATAGCTGCAGAAGAGTGAGCTCACACATACCAAGGAACTGAGGATTTCGATCAACCACTTCGCTCATCTCTCCAACCAATTCAATGCTGGTGTATCGCACTGCTGTATGTACAGTCTCTGGAAGTCGGACGACTCCTTCTAGGACCTCCACCAGTGTTGGATTGTTCTCCCTAAGTACAAAAGGTAAGTACTCACAGTTACTGATTTCAGAGGTTAGATTCTGGCCTAATAACAGGCTGTAAAAAGACAAATCATTGCTAAAGGACTTTTTTCTAAACACATAACCATTTGGATGAAAGTGCTTAACATTTGGTATGAAAGTTTTTTAAATCCTCAAAAAAAGGCAAAAAGATAGAAACAGCAGATACTGTTTCACAAGAAGCATGCTGCTCCTTAATCTTCTAAATGCCAATAAAGTATCTAAAGACACATCCTGCGATCAGATTATGTTCTTCAAATTGGAGAGGCAGGCATTTACTATGGATGCATGTCTTCTTTTAAAGAATCCATTTTAGTTATTCTTCTAGCTGCAGTACCTAGAACAGTGCCTGGCACACAGTGGGCACTCAATAAATATTGCTGCGTGGCTAAATGAATGAGTGAATAATTCTCACAGACCACTTGCTTATTAGTTCTTCTCCGAAATATTTCTTATAGCTGGATACTGGAAATTTTAAGCACAGGTAAGTACAGGTGGGCCAGCTCACTAACTAAAGGAACAAGAATACAAGCCGCAGGAACAGGTAAAGGTGACCTGACTTGGAACATGAGGGAAAATTAAAGTTAACCAAATACTCTCCATGGCTCCAAGAATTTCTTTTTCCCCTTTCCTTGTCTTTTTTCCACTCCCCCAGAATACTGGCTGAAATTCTTTATGCCCCCATAGTGGTAGGCTATAATACAGAAACAAAAGATGTTTAAAATCTAAATAATGTCCTGGATTAGAGCAAAAGCACTCCATGCTGATGAACTAAGTCTAAGTCTAAGTCCATACACTAAAAAAAATTATAATCATGCAGTTGGCTTCAAATGTGGATTAAAAAAAAAAGCCATAATGTAAAACCTTCTCATTTATGTTATGTTTCCTGAGAGCACTAAGCTAATTTTTGAGACTCTCTACCCATCCTTTTTCACACCAACACATATCAGAATAGAAGTAATTTTAATAATCCTCAGACTATCACTGAAGGTTCCAAAAGATACCAAAATGAATGTAAGAGCAAACAATATGGTATGTAATTCAGGACCAATACATCTTTTTTTTTTTTTTTAAGATTTTTTTCTTTAAAGATTTATTTATATGAGAGAGAGAGAATGAGAGAGCAAGAGAGAAGGAGAAGGGGAGGATTAGAGGGAGAAGCAGACTCCCCAATGAGCAGGGAGCCCAATGCAGACTCGGTCCCCGGACTCCAGGATGATGACCTGGGCCAAAGGCAGTTGCTTAACCAACTAAGCCACCCAGGCATCCCACCCGGGACCAGTACATCTTAATAGAGAAAAGCAAACCTACTCTATTCTCCTTGAATATTTACTGTATTAGAAACAACGTAAGATTTCACTGACTCAAGTCTAAAAGGCAGCTAAGTAAGAAGCACTGTACTTTTCATAAATACATGCCTTAACCATCTCTCTAACCAAGGCTTGGAAAAGAGCTCAGTTGCAGGTATCTGATCACAATACAAGAAAACTTGATAGATATTATCATCAATTTATAAACTCACAGCACGAAGTAAATTCTGTTTTTAGGAATTCATATTAAAATCATAAATAAAATTTCTATGCTACTCAATTAGAAATTAAATTCTGGTAAAAAAAAAAAAAGAAATCAAATTCTAGTAGCTTAAAGATTTCCCATGGCAATAACAAAAATAATAATTGCTCCTTAGATTTTGCTACTCTTTTAAGGTGAAATGGTACCTATCTTGCCTTTCTAAAACTCACAAATGATTCTCTAAGGCAGACAAAACAGAGAACAATATGATGAAGTATTTGTGAGGATCACTTACCCAAGGTCCAAAAGCAGATGAGAGCTAATCAGTGACTATTCAACTGCTTTTAAGCAAGCACCAACAATTTAACAGCCTAACAATTTTTTTATTATATCAACTTTCATAAGGGAGCCTCAGCTGGAAAAATAAATCAGCATTATCTTCCTAACATCAAGAACAAAATAATTTTAACTCTAGGATATGTGGTTATGGGTATCAGCAATGCATGCTACTCTGGAATAAACTCTAGAAGTCAGACGACTAGGCAGCATTATAGAAGTTCTAAGTATTTCCAAACATATAGCACAGGAGAAAAATGGTATAATTTTCCTTCCTTTGATATTCAGAGTTCCCGCAAAAGACTTATTAGACACTCACGGATCAACACTCTTTGCTATAGCAGCCATGATAAAGAGAACCGCTTCTGTCACCTCCCAGGGTGGGTTGCCTTCTTTCAGAGTAGAATATAACTAGAGAAGAAGAGGTGGATTATGGATCCATTAAAAGGAAAACAGAATAGAATTCCAAAACAAACAAAACAAAAAATCCTTTTAGTTAAAATAAATCCAGCCCCTCGTTTCTAAATCGAAGTATCTCTCAGAGCCAGGGGAGAAAATTAACTCCTTTTTCACATCTTCACTAACTACAAGTAACTGCTATTTTAATATCTGAAATAAAACCAGTTAGATTCCCCAGGAATGTATCAAAATTATCATCTGCCCCGACAAAATGAGTATTATGGAAAAGCAAACATATTACATGAGTGTTTTTTTGTGATCCCTACAATAACTGATAAATACATAAATACACTTAAAATTGAAATACTATGTAAATTTCTTATATATGTATTGATTTTAACATTTCTACTGTTTTAAAGACTTATCTGCATCAACACTAGTAGTACAGATTAAATTCTTAAAAAGCAGCTATTTAGAATACCATATCCAAGCAAGGGGAGGAAAAAAAGGAGACCGAGCAGAATACTCAAAGATGCTCTAGTCCAGAAATTTCCCAGCATATATCCATCTGATTGGGTGTTAGTCTAAGTAAGATTTCTGTAGTCAAATAACAAACACTGCTAAGTAAAATAAAACTAAGTAATTCTCTTGTTGTAGGACTTTACCGAACCTTTAATACACTGTTTAAGTCATTTCCCAATGTTAATTGAGGATTCTCCCCTGACAAAGAATATCTCATATGACTGGTGTTCCACAGAATACATCTTGAACAACACTGACAATTTAAGTAAATTTGTAAACTGAGATTTGAAGAACAAGTAACTTGCTCAAAGCCACATAGCAAATGACAAAGAGCTGAAATGTGAACACAGGTCATCTGCCTGTGATCTGGTGATCTCACTGAATCTGCTTTCTAAGAATCTCCAACCCTTGGTAATTAGATCAATAAACACACTTTGTTTAATATGAAGAAAAACAGATATAATTTAATTAAGACTTTCCAAATCAGATTATACCCCCAAATATACAAAATGGCTGGGTTACCAAAAAAAATAAAATAAAATAAAGGTTAGTTCGGTATTGCTGATAAAGTATCAAAACTACTGTATTTCTGAGCTTAGAGTGTGATCTAGGAATATGAAAACTGCCTGAAATTATGCTAACGTTAAGTGATGTGGAATGGTGATGATTGCAACCTTATGAGGTAAAATATTACTCACTGTCAGGAAAATCACAGGACTATGAATCTTCTACTCTAGTATAGTCACCTCTGGGATGAAACTGCACAGGAATCTAACCATAAGTGTGGACAAAGGAAATGCCAAATAACTAAGAGAGTTGCCAGGATTCGGTACATAATTAATAAAGCAGAAAAACTTGCCTATTTTTCCTGGCTAGGTCCAAGTTCCCTATAAATACCTTGGGGTCTTAAGGTTTATCTATGATTTTCCACTCCGACTAGACAAGCAGAACAGCTTTCAACAGCAAGAATCATAGGAGTAAACCATAACTGAACCATCCACAGACTGCAATTGGCTTGCTTGTTAAGATAATAAATAAACCAAGCTACTATATGCCAGGCAGTGTGCTAGGCACCTGCATATCTACTGTCCCAATGAGCCATTAAAATTTAAGAAAAAGGTGGAATATTTATAGGAGACACCGAAGTGAACAAAACTCAAGTGATCAGTAAAACTGGTAAGAATCTCCAAATGGACTTACCTGAGCAAAACACTCCATAGACCCAATCAAGAAAATCAAGTCTTTCACCAGATCTGATACCCTCATCCGAAACTCTCCAAAGTCATCAGTCTCCTCAGGAACCCCCTCCTGAAATTTCAAGTCAAATAACATTTCTTTTAAACTTATCATAAGGCTTTAACAGACCTCTATAAAAACAAGAATAAAGAAAAAGCCATTAAACAGTTCAGTCCCAATGAACAAGAGATAAGTTGCCTAAATCAAAGGTTATTTTAATATACAGGGTCTCTTAAACTTTTAGGTATGTCAAGTCAATACAACCTAACCTCTACCTTTACTATGAGAAACTGTTCTTCCTTTTCCCTCATATTTCCAAGCCACACATTGCTCTGTTGTTGAAAAATTTGAGTGGTCAGAGTGGGAAGTAACCTGGAAGAGGTGATAACTTAAGAGTTTCTAAGTTTATCTTATTTTTAGTACTGAATATGCCCCTGAAGCTTCATGGGTCAATATTTACCAGAATCAGTAATTATCACAACAACTAGATTCAGAATAGAATTTTAGACTTTTAAAAAGAGTATTATATAGGTAGACAGATATATAAAAAAACACAAGTATAGTACAACTTAGGTATAGGTATACAAATAGTCAATATAAAATTTTCACCTTTGCCAAACATTTGAAAATTTTCATTAAAAAATATAGAGATTGGGGTGCCTGGGTGGCTCAGTGGGTTAAGCCTCTGCCTCGGGCTCAGGTCATGATCTCAGGGTCCTGGTATTAAGCCCTGCATCAGGCTCTCTCTCTGTCTGCCTCTCTGCCTACTTGTGATCTCTGTCAAATAAATAAATAAAATCTTTAAAAAAAAATAGAGAGAGATCATTTACATTTCATGCTTTCAATTGGGAGATGGTTAAGGGCATGTATAAAAAGCTTTATCCATGACTATCTGGAAAACAGCCCTAATACTACTGAGAACTGCTGATCTAGTCCAAACTCCTTGCTTTAAGATGAAGAAATTAAAGTCAGAGAATGAGAAGGAAATGATGGCTATCCTGAGATAGGGAATTATAAAGTACCCCACAAGGACACCTGGGTGGCTCAGTCATCAAGTATCTACCTCCGGCTCAGGTCAGGATCCTAGGGTCCTGGGATTGAGCCCTGCACTGGGCTCCCCGCTCAGTGGGAAGCCTGCTTCTCCCTCTCCCACTCCCTCTGTTTGTGTTCCCTCTCTCACTCTCCTTCTGTCAAATAAATAAAATCTTAAAAAAAAATAAAATAAAAAAATATAGCACCCCACATATTACAAAGCACTCATATATCCACAAGTATAAGGAACTGCCACAAGGGAACTGGCAAAAGAAGAATGGGATCAAGCCAAGTACAGCCAACTGAAAGCAGAGGCCCTACTTTTATTTACCTATCAGGCTTCCATGTAAGATGTAGATGAAGACAGAATTCCTCAGTTAAATAACAAAAAAATAAGGATGAAAATCCCTACACTAGACCATCACTAAGATTCTTTGAAGATGCAAAATACCATGAATCAACAATGTTAATGTTAAACTGAAGAGAACAGAAACAGTTATAGTTTTCACATCAGATCTAATAGTGAGCAATGAGAAAAAACTCTCTTCAAGTCCTGAGTAAGAAGAATTAGAACTAACCAACCAATCAAAAGGATGCTGTAAGATTTAAGAGACTAAGCAAAGAACGAAGGTTAAAGGGTTTTCTAATTGACTATTTTATGGTATTTCTAGTATGTATTCTTCTAAGCAAGTAGATTATTTCTCTATATTCTTTTTTTAAAGTTGTTTCTTTTTTTTTCTAAGGTTTTATTTATTTGACACACAGAGAGAGAAAAAATTTGCTAAATTTTTTTCATTTAGCAAATAGCATTGCTATTTCAAGTCATTATTTTGCATAATGGTCCATCAAGCTGCAACATCCTAATTTATGTAACTCTTCTTACATTGTTGTACGTGAGTTTACCCTTTTTTTACTTTACAGATAATGCTTTATACCTAAAAGAGCTATTTTTTTCTCTTCAGCAGAATTATTTAAGGTGAATTTCTAGGAAAAGAACTTACTTCTTTCTATATAAGCCTTATACTCACTCTTCATTACACTGGTGTTGATTTCTTTAGTGTACGCTACACAGTGACAGAAAACCTGCAAATTCCATTAGCTTTATTTTCTTACCTTTTTAGTTCATTTTTAAATTAGGACTGAAAAGAGTAGGAAATTAAGATCTGAAGAAGTGGAGAAGGGAACTTACATGGTCTGGTTCTAGCTGGCAGTGTCGAGCCAAGGCGTGAAGCAGCCTCTGAATGTAAGCTTTGAAGATTCCATGAATAACTTCATCATTAGTTTTGTACAAATGCTCCCCGAGTCGGTACCAAAAGTTAAAGGAAATTTCTACTACCTGTCAAATTGAAAAAGAGAAAAGGAAAAGAAAGTTAATTTTTGATTCAAAGAAGGAATGGCATATAAAGACAGTTTTATTAGTAGAACCATACAGGAAAGAAGACATAATCTAAAATAATACAAGTAGAATCGGTTAAGAAGCCACCTGTTCTCTAGCAGATTTATTACTATCCTACCCAACTATCTTCCGATGATAGGCCCCAAACTCCATTTACGATAACTGGGAGTACAGTCCCTCTTTAGCTGATAAGTTCTCCAGCAACAGAAAGGATTCTGAATTTAGAGAAACAGATACAGAAATGGGAAGTCTCTTTTAAATATTTTTTTCTCAAATCAAAAATCATTTCATGTTTGAGATTAAAACACCTCTTGACAGGGTCACCTGGGTGGCTGAGTCAGTTAAAGGGCTGCCTTCGGCTCAGGTCCTAATCCCAGGGTCCTAAGATAGAGCCCCACATGGGGCTCCCTGCTCAGCTGAGTGTCCGCTTCTTCCTCTGCCCCCCAACCCCATGCTTGTGTTCGAGCTTTGAGATAAATAAAATCTTTCTTTAAAAAAGAAGAAAAAGAAAAAATACCTCACCTCTTGACAGACAAACCATCTGCAAATCCCTGAACATACCAACCTTGTATCATTTTTACTCACCTACTTTCCTGAGTGGGACTGAAAAGGAACAAAAAGTCTGGGACTTTATCCACAGCTTATCTTACTTATTGCACTATTTAAAGGAGTGATAATCATTACACAGTGTACACTGGGAGTGCTACTCCCAGAAATGTTTTGTGTTTCATCCAAATCTAGATACCCTCATGAGATCAAGTCAAACAAATAAACATTATTTGAATGTTTATTATTTGAATAAGAGAAAAAGAGATACAGGGCTGTACTCCTCCCTAATAAGAGAGGCCTATCATCCTTTTCCCATCAAAGATCCAAAATAGACCTATTTAAAATAACCCAATTTGGGAGTTCTTTCTCACTTCTTAACTATTAAGAGGAGGTAAAACTTCTTGAATACACAAGAGTTTAAAAAATCTAGCTTTTTTTTTTTTAAATCTAACTTTTTAAAGAGGTAGGGTGTTGTAGAGATTTTGGAAAAGAGTAGACTTTTAAATCCTTTCAATCCCTTTCTCATTCCCATTCACAATTTGGAGAAAAAATTCTGGGTATTAGGACTGGTACAGTTAAGATTTTATGTGGTTTTGTTTTGTTTTTAGCTACAACTACAAAGTTCCAAAAAGAATAGCTGGACCTAGAGAGGGGGCTCAGTTAAAAGGTAGGAAGCTTTCTTCCTAATGGGTTCCCTGAGGTGCCGATAGCAGTCAGCCCGGCTAACTGGGTAAGAAAATAGAGAATAGAAATTTTTTTTAGAATTAGAATATTTCTAATTTTTTTAGAATTAGAATATTTAGAAAATAGGAAAGATTCTATAGAATAGAAAAACCCAAACATAATTTAAAAAGAAAAAACTAATACAGAGGAAACCATCACATCACACTAATTAAATATAAGACTATAGTCTCCCACAAATAAAAAGCTATGACACAAGGTGTCAATGGAATATAGGTAATACGCAGCATACAACTTAGAGAAAAATGGGTTTAGCATAATATAAACACTACCTCATACTGAGGATGTCCTGCACAAATAAGCAGCAGTTCCAGAGTTCGTAGGTCGCCAAGACCTTGGCCTGGAGTACAAACAATTTTTTCAAGAAAAGTTTCACATAGTTCAGTGAAAATACGGCAGTAATTCAGAACTCTGCAGATGAAAGAGTAATGAGAGCACCGAGTCAGAAATCTGTATATGTACATACTCACAGACATACTTAAATAAGTAAAAGGATCCTCAGCCTAAGGGACATGTAGTGATTATTAGCTACGCTGTATCAGAATCTCTGTAACAGCCACCTTTCCTTATCATATATTTTTATACATATAAGCAAATGACTCATAAGTCAGTTCAAATTCTCAATTACTAAAACATATGAATAAAATCCTTATCAAATTACACTTGATACTCCAAAGTTCATCCCTAATTCTTAGAGCCTTTTCCTTTGTGAGTGGAAAAAATTACTACTTTCTATGATTTCAACCTCTCCTGCATCCATTTTAAACTCCAGATTCAGTCAAGAACAGAGCATCTTTAGAATGTGGTGTCTGTATTTACCCAGAATCATTAAAAAATCATGAAGGATGGAATCCAGGGCTACTGCCTTAAATAATCACTCACTTGTCTAAATCTTCACGTGCCACAGCCATGTGATAAGCAGTCTCCAATGTTAGGACTCCTTGAAAAAGCTGCATGGCTAATGGCAAGTTAGTCTCCACATTCTCAATGGCATAGAGAGCTGAGCACACACAATCTGAAGCAGCTTCGTGTAGGTTGGACGAGGTCTTATCCTGTTGCTGGGAAATGGCAGGAATAGGGAAATAAGATGTATGATCATTAAGCTGAAAACCAAGTACTAGCAAACAATTATAGCCTGTTTCTGAACATGTACTTTAAATGCATAAAGCCTAAAAGGTCATGGCCTTCAACCAGATAATATTCATCAGTCTTCCCTATTTCCCTATATGCCAAACAAATCAGCCTTTTTGTACCCCTTTCAGTCACATGACTTCTAAAATTCCATGGTTGTTTTTTTTTTTTCCCCCACACCAGCCCCTCCAAATGTAATGCAATGTGTTCCCTACCCTGTTTTAGTCTGTGAAAATCTTTCCCATCCTTTTTTGATATTCAAATACTATTTAAAATGAAAGGGTCTGGGTTGTCTGGGTGGCTCAGTTGGTTAGGCGCCCGACTCTTGGTTTCACGTCATGATCTCATGGCTTGTGGGACTGAGCCCCACGTTTGCTTCCACACTCAGTACCAAGTCTCCCTGGGATTCTTTCCCACCTCCTCCCCCTCTGATCTTCCCCTCACTGGCACACATTCTCTTTCCCTAAAATAAATAAATAAATATTTTTTTAAAAAATAAAAAATAAAATAAAATGAAAGGGTCCAACAAGTCTCAAATACTCACACCTACCTAATATATCAACATAATATTTCAGAATACCAAGGTTCAAAAGAGATTCTTAAAGCTTCTGGGAATGAGAGAAGGTAACTTTGAAAGGAGCAAATCAGTTATTTAGATTCTCATTAGCAATGATGCCTGCCAGTAGATGAGAGAGAAAGACCTTGGAAATCTTGAAAGAAAACTGAACCTAGAACTCTATACCTAGTTAAACCACAAGTTAAGAATAAAAGCAAAATATAAATATTTCTCAGGAATACAAAAACTCAAAGTTTATTTCCCACATATCTTCCTGAGGAAGGTATCTGAGGACATTCAAAGAAGTTAATCCAATCCGGAAGCATAGTAAAGAGAAGTTTCAGAATGACAGCTGGAAAGTAGATCTCAAGAACAACTGGGACAAAATGGAGTAGAGTTCAAACAGCGAGACCTTCAGGGTTTCTATTTAAAAGAGTACAGTTGAGAGAATGGATAAATTTAGTGAAGGCATATTAGTCTTTTATGAAAAAAACAAGGACATTTAGAATCGTTAGGAAGGAACTATACAAGCAGGGTTGGGGAACACAAGGATAAATGCAAATTATTCATTAGATTATTCTTAGGTTTACAGGTGGATTCAAAAATACTTATTATTATTAGTCTGTTTTAAAAAGTTAAGTAAATGGGGGTGCCTGGGTGGCTCAGTGGGTTAAAGCCTCTGTCTTCGGCTCAGGTCGCGATCCCACGGTCCTGGGATCGAGACCCGCATCGGGTTCTCTGCTCAGCAGGGAGACTGCTTCCCTTCCTGTCTCTCTGCCTGCCTCTCTGCTTACTTGTGATCTCTGTCTATCAAATAAATAAATAAAAATCTTTAAAAAAAAAAAAAGTTAAGTAAATGTCCATATTTATTCTTTTGTATATATATCCAGCATTACATTTGTAAAAGCCTTAAAAAAAAAAAAAAAAAGAACTATGGGAGAAAAGGCTATATATCTGTAACAGAGATGTGGTCCAAATATAAAGCAAACTAAAATATGGCATGATTTTGAACCACTGAATGCATGTAAGAATGAGAATATATTTGACTCTGACTCTAAAACCACACTTCTGTTAAGTGGCAGAGGAGTCCTGACACTGGATCAGTGGAGAAGATAATATAATCCTGTCGCACTAGTTCGCTTGTTCCTTATCCTTATCTTAATTCCCAGAAGTAACCACTGCATTGAGTTTGACATGTATTCTAAGCTGCCCTCCCTTCATATGTAATCAGTCATAGTCATAAATTTTTAAAAAGATTTATTTAGAGAGAGAGAGTGCACATGCACGAGCAGGAGGGGCAGAAGGAGAGGGAGAGGGAGAGAGAGAATCTCAAGCAGATACCCCATGGAGCACAGAGCCCAAAGCAGGGGTCAGTCTCATGACCCTGAGATCACAACCTAAGCTGAAACCAAGAGCTGGCTGCTCAGCTGACTGCACCATCCAGGTGCCCCTCATATTCATAAATTTTTAAACAAAAGTGGGATATTAATTTATTTATACTGGCTACTCTTCCAAAGACATGAGACAAAGACAGTGAATAGCAAAACAATTACCAGAGTCTAACTTTTCTGTCTTAGCTCCTGATGCAAGAAAGCAACATAAATACATTAACAACAATGAAACACCGAAATGCCTCCTAGAAGAATGTTTTCCTTTTCTTTAATTCACAGCGATATCAATCCATTATCCATTATCATGCTACCATCTTCTAAATAACAGTGCACCAGCATATAACCAGTACACACAGAGCTTCTATATTAATATGACTTCATGGAAGGAGACTATCCAGGAAAACGAGACAATGTCACTCTCATCTCCAAAGACCTGATCAATATGTGCTTGAGATTGCTGTTTCTTGTTCTAAAAACTAGTCTTATTCTATGCACTCAGTCCTATCTACCAAGACAAAAGAATGTATTACTAGATACTATTATTTTAAAGCTTATGGAAAACATGCCCAAGTATATAAAAAGATACTACTTTTTATCCCATTTATCTAAAAAGCCTCAAATCCAACCTGTACATACCATGATGCTTAAGTAAACTATCACAACTACAAAGACAATATTCTGATCTGTAATTGTCTCAAAGACCCAATGACCATTATTCTATTTTTATTTTTTTATTTTTTTAAAGATTTTATTTATTTGGTAGAGATTACAAGTAGTCAGAGAGGCAGGCAGAGAGAGAGAGAGAGAGGAAGCAGGCTCCCCGCTGAGCAGAGAGCCCGATGCGCGGCACAATCCCAGGACCCTGAGATCATGACCTGAGCTGAAGGCAGAGGCCTCAACCCACTGAGCCACCCAGGCGCCCCCCATTATTCTATTTTTAAAACAAGAAAAAAACCCAATGGTTTTTTACTTGTTTAATATGTAAATCATTGATCTACATGTAAAACTGCTTTCTTATTAAACTTAATTATACTCATACCTTCATTTGATACTTGGTAACAAGGAAGAGACACTGCCACTTTCTTACTATACACCTTTCAATCACTATATAGAAATCTGAAAACACTACTATGTCCCAGAAGGTTAGTTACTACTGTGACTACGTGGTAAAAATACTTTCATAAACAAAGCCATTACTTACCAAAACCTCAAAAAGGAGTGCTAGTAACTTATTGTTAGCCATGAAGTTACTGTCCAAAACTCCTAGGTTAAACCAACTTCCTAAACAGCGAAAGACCTTCATAAGCATTTTCTCATCTGTTCCTGCTTTTTCTACACAGGTCATCTGAAAAGAAGGAAAAAAAAGGTAAAATAATGCCAAACTTTATATTTAAACCATTATTACAATCACCTCTCAGGTATAATAATGAGAAGGAAAATAATACTAACAGTTAAGTGCTTTCTTTCTTTCTTTTTTTTTTTTTTAAAGATTTTATTTATTCATTCGTCAGAGAGAGAGCAGAAGCATGGACAGCTGCAGGAAAAACAGGCAGAGGGAGAAGCAGGTTCCCTGCTGAGCAAGGAGCCCGATGGGAGACTCAATCCCAGGACCCTGGGATCATGACCTGAGCCGAAGGCAGACCCTCAACAGACTGAGCCACCCAGACATCCAAAAAGTGCTTTGAAAGTACCAGATGGTGCTCTCAATACTCTTAATTCATTAATCCCCACTAAAACTACAGTCAGGTACTATCTCCACTTATTCAACTGGGAAGTGGAGTACACAGAGACTGTAGACTTGCCCAAAGATAGTTCTGTTTCAGAAGTAAGGGTTTCTTAGATCCCTCTTCTGCATTAATGTAATCTCACCGAAGAAGTACCTTAAAGTAATATTCATCTACACAGTTGATTTTATAGAAAAACAAGATAGTCCTACTACTGTAATTCCCCATATGAAAAGCTGATGTTTCAGCTTCTGTGCTTGAATACTCCAGCAAATATACCATTCCACAGAAAGTGACACTACTATAAATATGGTAGGTTGATAAAAGAGATAAAATGAAAAGTCAGATGAAAACTCAGTTTCTCTTTGCGAATTGTTTATGTGATGTATATTTTTTCCAAAGTAAAGTGTAATCCAACTTTTTTGGATTTAAAAAAATGTCTAAAAATAATTTCTACAAGCAATGGGTCAGAAACATCATAATTGCCGTGGGGTTTGGGAGGCCTGTGGTGGAGGCATGGGATTATAGAATCCCACAGTGATCTAAATGTTGACTCTTATACTTCTAGGTAGCCACGCTCCTCCTATATTTACTGTATCAGGCTATTATGATTACGTTCTTCTCAATTAGTTTGAATTGTACTGAACTGAATTGAAATGAAAGAAGAAAAACAAGAATGCTTCAAGTACATTCATGGCAACCACACACATACTTGAATCTCTGAAGCTCTGGATGTGAAATTACACAACTGTTTTGGCCTTTATACTTCCTGAATGACATTTCAGTTTACTAAGATATGATGTTTACAAATGGAAGGACCAGACCATACATTCTAAACTTCTGACTCAAACTTAGGAACAGAATTTTGGAAAAAGCCTACATCTAAATCTAATTGCTTTGAAGAGAAAAAAAATTCTGCTAATTAAATCAAACACATACCATAAAGCTTCAGAACTAAGAGAACGTTACCTTGAGTTCCTTTTTAAAAACTGTATTGTTAAGAACTCTGTCTCTTAAAACAAGGCCTCAAAGCTGAAATATAAATGCCAGAAGAGTTCCCAGTAAAAATACAGCAGAGGTAAATAAGAATAGATCTTGGATTAACAAAATGAAGAGTAAATGAAGGGAGAAAAATATATTAGAGGACAGGCTCAAAAGTTCAACACAATGTTTAGGAAAGGCTCCATTCTAATAGACCACAAAAGTATAATACTGACAAAATGGGATGGAATAGAATGAATAAGAGGAATGTGGGGGAAACAGCTAGCCTATTTCCCATGGCAATTCTGGACTATTTCATTTTCTGGGTTCTGTAACATGACAAGCTATAGGACAGAACTACAGACCTTATTAAGTACCGCTGGGACAAATTTTTCAGATTTCATTACAACAAATCAAGCTATTGCCTGTTGTCAATTATGAGGAAGTGTTAAGTCAAGCATATGCCTTGGAAGTCCAAGTGGCTGCTGCACTTGACCACTGTGCCAGTAATGATGCCTATGAGGACTGCGGTATTGACCGGATTCTTTTGGCTTCACTTCAGTCCTTACAAAAAGAAAATAACAAGCTCAGGTCCCTTAACTCAAGTCATAGTCTGAGAACCAAAGCTTCCACAACCGCTCTAAATGAGGTTCTTATTTTGAGTAGCTCCAGGGCTGATATTCATATGCATAATTTGTGTGGCTTGCTAAATTATAAACAGCTGCATTCACAATCTCAACAAATTTCTCATGTGAAACTTAAGAAACTGTAAAACATGGAATTCTGAAACTTGAAAAAGCGACATCTGGTGTCTGGACCCTAATGGAACAGATAATCTTGAACTCCCAAATTACTGAGTCTCTTACCAGTAGATGTAGTGTGCCTTCCAGTGTCCGAGAAGAATAGGCTTCTTCAGTTTGAAAGCCCTGTAATTACCTCCTCTGAGACAAGTGCCTTCACAGGGGATGGGATGCCCAATCTCTTCAAGACTTACCACAACCATTTCCTGTGCCACCACAACTATGGCCAAATCTTAGCATCTTTCAGGGGGGACAGGTATATACAAGAGGAAATAACTTATCAAGAAAAATGTAACTTTGCTAACATGTATTTGAAGAAACCTGGGGAACATACATGGGAATGATTTTAAGGGTATCGGACCATGGGAGACTGGAATATACCACTAACTTGAGTCAATCTCATTGACATGAATGTACTTCCTAGAGATTCTGGATTTAATGAGTACATGGCACCTCTGGGAAGTACCCAGGAAAATGAAGAGTACAGATATCTAGGATCTGGGAGCAAATCTGCACTTTCTTTTGATTATTCTTTTGAGAAACACCTTCTGGCTTGCTACTAAACCTTGGTAGAAACTGAACATCTATCCACAGGACATCAGGTGATCACAAGGCCTGAGCTTCTCATCATGAACTGAGTACTGTCTGAACTACCTAAATATGGGCATGCATAAAAGCAACCTATCATCAAACACAAACGGAATAAAAGAAACTGAGTTCAAAAAGGTATAAGAAAGCTGCATGCACAGGTAGGTTAGATTCCTTTGACAAAAACTCTTCTTGCATTGATTCATTTCCCTCAATCCGTGCCTACTGCCTCCTATCTCCTGGATGTTTCTTACAACCTAGATAACTAAAGAAGAAAACTCAAGCCCAAATTACAGAATGATGTACACAACATGCTGGTACCACCTGAAGGTGGACTGCTGCACAATTACAGACCCATAAGGGCAGTGAAGGACAGTGAGAGACAGTGGTTGTAGTGAAAGGACAGTGGTTGAAGGAAAATCCTAAAGGGCAGAACTTCAAGCAATATAATTGGTTGTCCACCACGTATGGAGTGAGAGGTGACCCAAAACATGGATCTATACTTATTTATGGACAATTTTCAATGATTTGGACGACCAGATATTTGGAAGAAGCATGATTAAAAGTTTGGTGACAAGGAATTCTGAGGCAGAAGTATGTATGAATGGTATATAAATAGGCACAGGCTGTGGAGAAATTTCTGTCCTGTGCGAATACCCACCAGAAGATATCCACTACAGAGGAATCTTTCAACGACAGATGGACAAAATGAGAAACTCTATAATTGCAGCCTCTTTCCCCAGCCACCTTGCTCAAGAGGCTCATAAACAAAATGGCCATAGTAGCTGGGATAGAGGTTACACAAGGATTAACAAGGACTTCCACTAAGTAAGTTAAAAACTAATGATGAGTGTCAAATCTACCAGCAGCAGAGACCAATACTGAGTCCCTAAAATGGCACCATCTACCAAAGGACCAGGCTGATTGATTACATTGAACTTCTATCACAAAGGAAGCAGAGATTTGTATGGAAAAACAAGACTCACAGGAAGAAAGAGACTTACATGCTGGATATGGATTTGCCTTCTCTGCTTTCAGTGCTTCTATCAGCACGGTATTAATCACAGGCTCACAGAATGTCATATCCAATCATAATGGCATCCTATGTAATCCAGGAACTCATATCAGAATAAGGGAAATACAGTAATGAGCAACTCTGACCTCTGTTGGAGATTTTGGTCCCCAAGGAAGGAAAGCTTCTACCAGGAAATATAAACATGATGCAAGTGAACTGGAAGATAAGTCAACTACCTGGACAATATGGGCTTTTTATGCCACTGAACCAATAGGAAAAAAAGGGAGGAGGGTGTTAATCTCTAAGATGGGAGTTACTGATCCCAGTAACCAAGGAAAAACTTGAGTTCCGGGGTGCCTGGGTGACTCATTTGATTAAGCGTCTGTCTTTGGCTCAGGTCATGATCCCAGGGTCCTGGGATGCAGCCCCGCGTTAGGCTTCCTGCTGTTTCTCCCTCTCCCGCTTCCCCTGCTTGTTGTGTTCCCTGTCTCTCTCTGTGTCAAATAAATAAATAAAATCTAAAAGAAAAAAAGAAAAACTGAGTTCCTCCTACACAATCGAAGCAAAGAGTTCTCAGTGTGGAACCCACAGAATTTTCTAGAGAGCTTCTTAGTACTTCCATGCTTAACAATAAATGTTAATGGAAAACTACAGAAGCAACAACCCAAAAAGGCAGGATTATTGAGGGCTCATACTCTTTGGGAATGAAAGTTAGGGTCACTTCAAAGAGTAAAGAACACCAACGAGCTAAGGTTCTGACCAATGCAGGAGTCTTAGTCCATTCAGGCTGCTACAACAGAGTACAATAGGATGGGTGGCTTACAAACAACAGAAATTTATTTTTTACAGATTTAGAGGCTGGGGAAGTTCAAGATCAATGTACCCCCTAGATCCAGTGTCTGGTGAGGACTGGCTTCTTGTTTGATAATCAAGGACCTTTCATCTATGTTTACACATGACATAAGAAGGAAGGGAGCTTTCTGGGCTTGGGGTCTCTTTTATAAGGACACTAATCCCATTCACGAGGGTCCCATATTCATGACCTAATCACCTTCCAAAAGCCTCTTCTAACACTACAACGTCAGGCACTAGGTTTCAACATATAAATATATAAATTGGGGCTGGGCACACACACAAATATTCAGTCTACAGCAACATATAAATTTTGGTGGGGGGAAAGGAGAGACACACAGATATTTAGTCTATAGCATCAGGGGAAAGATGAAATGAGTTCTGC